AAGTAGCAGAGATGTATATAACAGAATTACAATGCTCACAACTAGGTGCAGTCATCTCCATGGAATTAGGATTTCGAGTGTCAAAAGGGGGAGTGTGAGATGCAAGCTTATTCAACTGTGTAGTATTAAGAGGTGAATGTGTCCAATTGAGGAATGCAGACTGAAAAAGGGTTAGCACGCATCGTATTAACACTTTTAGATTCCTTGATGCTATACTGTTGATGATTCAAGGCCATTTTCTTTATAAGTTTCCATGCCTCCTTAGCAATTAAATCAATGAGAGAACTCCCAGAAGCAGCATCCAACATCCCCTTGTCTTGGGTCTTAAGTCCAATCATGAAAGTATTGGACTAATTGCTTATCTGGAATCTAATGGTGGGGACATCTAGAAAGCAAGTCCTGAAAACGGTTCCAATAGTTATAAAGTAACTCATCAAAGTCTTGCTTTGTAGAATAGATCTCCTTTCTCAATGTGCAAGAACGGGAACCAGAGAAATACTTCTCCAAGAATGCTTTTTTGAGGTTGTTCCAGTTATGGTAGGCATCAGCCATATGCCCAAGCAAGCTCATGTACCATTCTCGCGCCTTGCCCTCCAGAAACAAATAGAATACCTTCCAAAGAACCTCATCCAAACTAGCCCCGGCCGACTTCATGCTAGAACATACCATAGAGAGAGATTTCAGATGATTGTACGGGTCCTCACCTGTCAAACCATAGAATTTAGGCAAAGAATTAAGTAGTAGACCTTTAATTTCAAAATAAATATCAGCAATAAAGCATGCAACATTGAAAGGATCATAATTTGCATCAAAAGTAGTGGCTTCCCTAATAGTTCTTCTTCTAGGGTTACTTTTATTATTCTCACCTATTCTATCATGTTCCCTATTATGTCCATTGCCCCCTCTACCATTACGACCATTGGGATTGTTGTTACCATTAGGGTTGTTAACAGTTTTCATTATGTCACCTAAGTTAACCACCAAATCTACACTAGTTGAATTGTCTAGTTCAACCTTAGGATCAATAGATGCACTAAATTCACTAGAGGACAAGTTAGACTCATGTGAAAAAATTTCCTCTTCAATTATAATCTCACTAGTCCTTTCTACCCTTTGGTTTTGTCTAGCTTCCCTTAAAGACCTTTGAAGCTTAGGAATGGAAGGAACTAGGGTTTTAGACCTACTCTTCTTGGCATAAACAATCAATCAATCAGAAGCAAAGTGCAAAATTGACTTGCACAACAAGATTCAAGCAAAAATAGATGAATGGAATGAGTGCAAGTGTATATGTATGAGAATAATGTGTATGTTGTGTGTATGTATGGTATGGATGTCTATACACTCAATAGTATATGAAGGAATATGGGCATATGCACAAGTATGCTTAAAATCAATCAAGAAAAATCCAAGAATCCAAAAGAAGGTTGAAAAACTCAATTATTGAAAAATCTGAAAAAAATCTTAGAAAATAAAGAAAAATTGAAAAACTGCTTAAAATGAAGGAATTCAGCCAGAATTCACTACACCTAATAGCATAGCTATTAGTCTTGCTTAGAATGGCTGAAACCTTTAAGAAACCAAAGCTCAAAACTTTCTGGGTAAAAATTTAAAAATTTGACAGCAAGTTCAAAAACAAAACTTTTGACAGCAAAATCAAGCTTGTGACAGTAATGAATTCACAAAAATGTTAGACTCAAACATGCAAGAATGAAGAAATCACCCAAATGGCAGCAGTAAAATCACTTTCAAAACTTCAAGGATAACCAAGAATCACCAAGAAAATGCAAGAGGTAAGTGAAAATGAAAATGAAATATGCAATGAATGAATGAACCTATATGCTTCTTTGTTTGAGTTTCCAATGCAATTATATGATGCCAAATGCTAAAACTATGCAATACTAACTAAAATGCAAATGAATGAACTAAAATGCAACTAGGACTCAAACTACTAGGACACTACAATTAAACAAACTCAAATTTGGAAAAATCTAAAAAAATTCGTAGAAAAGAAAGAAAAATTCAAAAAGTGGTCTAGATGTTGGAATAGCTTTATTATTTTTGCTTAGAACACCCAAAACCTTTAAGAAAATGAAGATTAGAATTTTCTAGGTAGTACTTTCAAAAGTTTCAATAGCTCAAACCTCAGAAATAGCACTCTTACAGCACAGAGAACATCTAACGCTATGATGTAATGACATGCAAGTGTCTATATCTATATGCAAAACAAGACAAAATCAAGATATTTGGTTGTATTTTTGAAAACTTTTCTATGAAAATGAAAGAAATGCTATGAAAGACCAAAAACAAATGCAAGCTACTTAAAAATGCAAAAACTAAAAGACTCAAGGACTAAGTCAACCAAAGATTGACACTTAGTTACTAGAGAACTAATTTCTTGGCTCCCCGACCATAGTGCCACTTGAAGAACGAACCATTAGTCACCTTAGGTCCACTTTAAAATTAACCGAATTAATACAATATAGTGCACGATTTGGGTCGTATTCACTTGACTTAGAAAGGAATTGACTTAGAAAGATCCTCTAAAAAGATCCTAAGTAACTAGGTATGCAAAAGATAGAAAATTGACTTAGAAAGGAATTGATTTTCTTTTTAACTAACTAATTGGAAAAATTTGAAAGGATGCAAAATGAGTAAGTAATTTTTGGATTTTTAGTTTATAAAATGGATATGGATGAAATAAATGAAAAGAATTAACAAGTGATAATAAATTGAATAGCAATCCTTTAGCACAATGATTTAAGCTATCATTGCTTTAATTAATTTGGGAGTTAGCTAAATTCAAAAGACTCTAAGAGCCACCCCTTAGACTCAGCTTAACTAGAATAATCAATACCAAGCCACCTTGCATATTAATTACTCACAATTAAACTGTTTTAGCACAATTAGCTAGAGAGAATCAAAGAAATGCAATTAACATTTTTAGTCCAATAACCAAGCTACCTTGAATTACCACTGAATATTCACAATAATTTCAAAACATAGTCTGACCAAGTACAATGTAAAGAAATTAAAGCTAATCATAGCATAATGTCAAATGCTAATTAAGGATCCCAACAACTACAACCAATCTCAATACAAATATAAATCATCACAGTACATTCAAACATTGTAAAATTCATCCTAAGACCCAGGAATGACAATTACAATGAAAGAAGTAAAGATTAGAAGAGCTGAAACTCCCTTTTGAAGCTCCAAGTTCAAGCCATAAACACCACTCTAGAGGATTGAAGGATTTAACTACACCTAACCATCACCACAGCTCTAACAAAACTCCAATTCAGTTCAGCCATAAAGACTAGTGAAGGAGCTGATGGGAAAATCAGAGAAGTGCCGAATACTGTGACATGGTAGACTTGAACAGAGGTGGGAGAGAGCGATGATGATGCTGGATGGAATTGGATCGATGGAAGATGAAGATTCAGCGAGAATGAGATATGGAGGTCTGATTGCAGCTTCACGGCGTCGCTGCTCTGTTGATGATCACTTTACCTCCAGACTGAAGAGAAGAAGAAGATGGTGATGATGAAATCAAGGGGAGATGGATGATTTTTGCGTGAATGAAGAAAATGGAGGTGTGGACGTGTGATTTTCGGTGAGTCCCTCTAGTCCCTGTGTCGTTCACGTCATCGAGCTTCTCTAGTTCTCACTCTCTATCCCTCGCTATCGCACTCCTCTCTGCCACCAGGAAGATTTAGCGAAGACAAAGATGGTGGTGATGGGAGAGAATGGCTCAAGATTGTGCTTCTTCTATTGAGCTCCTCTGGTCTGTCATGCTGTCGCTGGCGCCCATGGTCCTCTCTCTTAGGTAGTAAAACGCACCGTTTTACTATCTGTGGCCTTTTTTATTATTATTTTCTTCTTTTTTATTTTTTATTTTAATTTTTTTTATTTTTTTATTTTTTATTTTTAATTCTTCCAAAACTTGCAATCAAAATTAAAAAATAAATAGTATTAATTGCCTTAAAGATCAATTAATCACAGAATGCCCTTAGATTAGGGGTAAGTTTTCACACCTGAGGACTAGTCCAGATATTAGCTAGTTTATATGCAACCTATTTTTACACAACCGATTCTGCCTATAGCAACAGCGCATTCCCTGACTTCCTTTCTTCTCTCAGAACATCCTCTTCTTCACGAAGAAGTGAATCTTAATGCACAGAAGCAGGAAAAGAGTGCTTTGGTAGGTCAATCGATACTGTAAGTAAGTCAATTGGCTCAAAAAGACTAGAAAGGACGTAGTAGGAAGACTAGAGGACCAATTTGTCTTTATAATTTTTCTTATAATTTTTTTCCCAAATTCAGAGCAAATACATTCCCGTGCTTCACACAAGGAATAAAAAACATAATCATTTGTATTTTTATTGTTCTATTTATTTACAGTCATTTACATAATTTTATTTCACACCTTCTAGACACTATTACTATTTGTAAAATTATTGCGTTAACATTTACTCTATATTTAATTTTTATTAGCTTTAATGGTGGTTCAAGTAGGTTGGAGGGAAGGGGAGAGAATATGATATTTTTAATGAATTTGATTTTTTTTAAAAAATGAGAAGTGAGATTAAAAATTTTTAATAAAATTTTCACACTCTTTTCTTAGACATATTATCTTTATTAAAATTTTATAATTACACTTGTCCATTTTTTAAAATTCAATTCATTAAAATTTTTTTCCTCCCTCCTCTCTAATCCTTCGAGCTAAGCGCATCGCAGTTGGTATAAAATCTAATTCAATACATTATGAAAAATTAGCCAAGAAAATTTATAAGAATTGGAAATCCCAAAATTAAAGCAAAATGGAGGAATATCCCCCACTCGGGTAATACAGTACATCCGAATCAAAACTTAACCCGCCCCGCCCCGGATGGGTTAAATGGAGAAAAGCCGAATTGGATATTTTGTTAAAAGGGCCATTGCGGAAGGTGATGATGTGGGAACATGACGGATATTTTGTAACCATACTAAAACCCAAAACCCTACTTCTCACTCCCTCCACGATACTCACCCGCCTTCATGCTTATCTCTGAACCCTCCATTTCTTGAAGCAGAACGTTGAACCATGCTCAGGTACCACCGTTGGTTCATTTGTTCTTGCTTGTCATCAATACACACACAGACTCAGCAACATTTCTGTATGTTTCTTTCAAATTAAGGTCGTCGTCGTGATACCGAGTCTAATTTAATTGAACTATATATTTCGAAGTTGAATTCGGAAATAGTCCTTGATTGTATTCCATTTCGAGGCATCTATGGCTCATTTCTGCTCCTCCACTTCTTCTGTTTCTGTACTGGTAGCATCGTAATGGATCCTCTGGAATCAATACCAGAATGAACTCATTTCTGAGAAGCTATCAGATTAATGCTTTTCTTTTGAATTCAATTCAATTCTAAAACAGTTGCAGGTTCTCACTCTAGTTATCTCTCGTCTTAACCTTCTGCCGCTTGTGTCCCTCTTGCCTATGCTTTTCCTTTCTCCCTCGCTTCAATGGTTGGGCGTACTCCAATTGACATGATAGGCTGTTTCGATGCTTTATTTCAATTCTCTGCTGCTTACCAGCTCCTTTTCACCTTTTATCTTTATGTTTCTTCATCTTTCTTTTCTTTTTCTTTTTCTTTTGTTTTTTTTTTTTGCGAGACGGAAATAACGTCAGATTTTCACTTTCATCGATAATCCTCTATTTTTGCACTTTGCTGTGTCACTGCAGTAAGTTAGCACCTGTGTGTTCGCCTCTGCCACCACTTCCCTTTTTCCTCCAGAGTTTAAACTTTACTTCCATCAGATATTGTTGCGTGCCTTGTGCATTAGGATCTAGACAGTGCTACCAAGCTGCAGGTTCTTTGGAATTAGAAGAGTGAGGCATTTCTTCTGTCAGATGACATGAAGAATTTATTTATATTCTCTCTTTGAGTAAACAGCTTCCTGTTGTTTATTGATTCTGCAATTGAATTTTGGTAAAAACATGGGTAACCATTATTTGCATTATGTTCTTCAATTTCTCTTTGTTATGTGTTCAGAAGCATTTTTCCAGGATATTTTTGTAGAATTTATTATTCAATCAAATTGTAACTGCAAATGTTGTTATAGCCTTACAACCTTTTTTCTCCTTTTTATTTTTTTCCCCCTGGGTTGAGGGGTAATTTTATTAAAAGTCACCTTTTGTATAATGCTCCTATATATTTGTTTTTGCAGATAAGTTGCAGAATATTTTAAGAAGCCAATGGGAGTTCAAAGAAAAACGGCTTCTCAGCTTCAGGCCCTTCATAATTTTTATAAAAGTATCATTTAAATCTCATATGTGCTCTTGGTCCTCGCTATCAGTGTTTTGCTTAAACATACTTTTAGTTATTTATTTATTTTTCTTTAATCCTTTTCCCTCTTATTTTTCCTTGGGATTTAATTCCACCAAGTTGTTGTGGTGCAGAGGAGAAGTATCCAACACCGAGAGCAATGGAAGACTTTGCTGGTGCTTTGGGGTTGACATATAAGCAAGTTCAAGATTGGTTTGTTGAGCAAAGGAGGAGAGATAAGAAGGAAAATGGAGTGTTAGGACCGTCATGTTCTACTTCGGGTAAGTACTTTTGATTTGGAAAATAGTCCTGGGTTTTGCTTTTGCTTGAAAGATACACAAAGTGGTATCTGTCAAATCAGAAGCTAATTCTCCTTCACCATCAGGATATGATGCAGTTATAAATAGGAATGGTAGGAAGCAGAAAAAGCAGAAAAGTCATCAGGAGTTGCTTACAGCAAACTACATTCTAAAAAATGTGTTCCGGAAGGGTGGTCCTTTTCCTGATAAGGAATTTGATTCTCTTCCTCCAGGTCCATCCTTTCACCATGTCGGTATGCTTTTGAATGTATTTTCCACTTATTCTTTTATTTAATATCACGATGATTGGCAATGGCTTCAGTAGATACTCCCTTTTTTAAATGTCAAGTTGTTAACTAGTTCGCAACTTATATAGTGGATGGATGTCTAAACAGTTTTGAGAGAAATGCCTGTTTTTAACCATTAATTAGGATTAGTTAAATATTTACTCTGATTCCCTATGTCAGAAATTTATACATTTAGGGCCCATTTAGTTCACCATATAGGATAGGACTCAATAGGACGGGGCCTAATATAGCATAAGCTTGATTGGACATGGCTAATAAGATTTTAATACTATCCGATATTAGGTGTGACATTGTGTAAAATATTGTATCATGTAAGATGATGCTATATGTTGGGTGGTGTGTTCTACAACCCTAGGTAGAATGAAAATTAACTCGTTTGTCCAATATGTCCTCTATTTAAAATCCGAATTTTTTTTTCTATATTAATATATCTAATGTTTAGACGAAGGGGTGACTGCAGTGGAGGTGTTGCAAGAGTGTTTCAAAATAATTGAGGGATGGAAAGGAAAATAGAAATTTAATAGGTTAATATAATTTTTGGTCCCTGAAATTTGAGCCCATTTTGGTCCCTCACGTTTCAAACCCGTGATTTTAGTTCCTAAAATTTCATCTGTCTTAAAACGTTAATCCCTGATGATACAACGGTATTAAACCACTTTGATGCTGTTCATGACACTTTAATAGATTTTAACACTATTACACTTTTGGGAACTAAATGGACTAAATTTCAGAGACTAAAATCATGTGTTTGAAATTTGAGGGACTAAAACCAAAAGATGCCCAAATTTTTGGGACAAAAAAATTATATTAACCTAAATTTATCTTAATATATTAAAATCTTGCCAAGCCTAGTCCCACCTCAAAAGGGATCTAATAAGATTATACATTGTGTTGATGTTTAAAAATATTTGGATGTATAAGCTTATACAATACATTATGTGTACCAAACAAGTGATAATCTCATTATTTATTAGCTCCTACCATTAGACCTCATATGGTGTGAGAAGTGGATTCTTATGGTTGATTAAAAAATGGAAATATTGGAATTGGGAGTTGGGACTTCATTTTCATATTTTCCACTTCCTACTTAATGAACTGAAGTTGAATTATATTCATCCCATTTTTAATCTTCTAAGTTCACCCGTAATTCCTTTGGTAGCTTACTCTATGCGTTTCTTGTGGCAAATTTGTTTTGTTGATGTTATCTTTGGTTGCCTAGGTCTCAACAATTCCTTTTCTGCTGGTCAAGAGGACCAAGGACCAATTAAAAGGAGGAAGGTTAGTTTTTTGGCATTTTTTGAGAAAGCTTTCTCTTTGTTCTTTTTCCACCTCAGACCAATCGAAGGCCATCCTCCCCACCCACCCACAAAATCTTTTGAATTGTTTTCCTCAGGTTTCTGAGAGTGCAGTTGGAAGTCATCCTGAATCAAATAATAAAGCACCATTGAGAAAACATGGTATTGGAAAAGGTTTAATGACAGTGTGGAGGGCTACAAATCCAGATGCTGGAGATCTTCCTATTGGCTTTGGTCTTGGTGATAAGCCAAGGAAAGCAGTAACAAATGCTGTAAAGTATCCTGCCAATAAATTTTATGTTTTGCTTTTGGTCCTGCACTCACTGTCCTGTGAATTGCTCTTAATAATGGTTATAGATTTTGATAGTTGTTTCTTCTGAACAGGGAAGACAAAAAAGTAAACTACAGAATGCGAGAAGTAAAATCCAAGACAAGAGGAGGGCTTTCATGCAAAGAAGAGTGGTAAATTGAAATTAAATTTTCTTTTTCATTGTTAATGGTAGATTGATTGGTAAGTTTACAGCTTGCTCTTATCTGTCAGGTGAAATATAACCAGGATGTGAATCATAATCAACCACAGAAGGAAAAATGCGAACTTGTTTTGGGCAGATTTATATCTGAGGAAGAACTTGATCGAGTGTCATTTCTAGTTGATGATGAAGAGCTAGAGATGAGAGAGTTGCAAGCAGGGCCAGCTACACACATGTGTTGTGCTCATCTTGCTTCCAGTGGAATTCTTGGCTGCTCTCTTTGTAAAGGTTGTGTGAGAGAAATAATTTTTAACTATAAGCAGTACTAAGTTTTGTGTTCTGATGTCTTCACTAGACGAACTGAGTCTTTCCTGTCAACAATTGCTTGTGATATTTACAGATGTGCTGTGTAAGTTTCCCCCACATACTGTTAAGATGAAGAAACCAATCTGTTTGCAACCCTGGGACTCCTCTCCAGAAACTGTCAAGAAACTTTTCAAGGTACCTGCAAACAGCATATTGTGACTTGGAAGATATGGTTTTATTAATGTTATACTTTTGAACTATATATCTATAACTGTTTTTTATGCATCTCGCTTCTCATGCTCTGTTAAATTCTTATTAACAAAACACTTTTTATTTCCTGTTTAAACATATTGTTATTTTTTTAAAATTATTTTTAGAGAAAAAGAAAAAGAATTCTGATCTTACACTGGATTGTTTGTGCTATTTACTGTGTCTTATAGTTTCTTGAACTCTCTGAAATTTTTATTCCTTTTTCTATGTTATTAATTATTGGCACATGCTTTTTTAGTGCCCTTCGAAATATCCTTATCATGCAATATTTTTTTAACTTTGTTTGGCAGTTAAAGATCAAAATGCTGTTCTTATTTTATTATTATTCTCACTGCTGCTGCTGCTGTTTTTATCTTTTATTTATACTCATAGAGTTTGAAAGATGATAGATATAAATGCTTGTCCGCCCACAAACACACAAACACACATGGAGGCTATGAATCTGATTAAGGGAAAGTTGGTGAATTTCTTCCTGATTTAAGCTTATGATGAGACAACCTTTCATTGATTTTGTACTGAGTTTGACTTGGATGAATTATTAAAGTGCTACACTGTTGCTAGTATTACTAGAGGTTGGATCCTTCTAATTGCCCTGCATCCTTCTTTTCTGCTCAGGTTTTTTTATTTGATTATCATGCATTGCAACTCTGGGCTTTTAAACTTAATTTGATAATGTGCTACCATCTTGTATTTATATTTCTATGTGACTTATAATCTGATATCATCAATAAGAAAATTTAAAATGACTAACTTCATTTACAGGTGTTCCATTTTCTTTATACATATGCTGCTGTTGTTAACATTTGCCCCTTCACTCTTGATGAGTTTGCTCAAGCGTTTCATGATAAGGTAACACTCATTCTTTACCAAGCTTATCTTAAGGAATGTCCTGCTCAATTTGGTTCTTTCTGTTGCTGTATGGAAAATTTTAACATTGAAAATGCATCTTACATTCCCACATGCCTCTCAGGACTCAATGCTACTTGGAAAGATTCATGTGGCCCTTCTTACAGTTCTTCTATCTGACATTGAAGCGGAACTTACTAGTGGATTTCCGCCTCATTTAAATAAGTCATGCAATTTTCTTGCATTGCTTCACTCGGTGAGTATCTTTTAACTTTCAAGAAATTCACAATAGGGACACTTTTTTCTCTAATCTGTAAATCATTTGATCCATGAACTTGCAATTCTATTATAGTGACTTAATGCACAACATCTTGTTCATTATAGAGAAACTTTTGCACTTGCTTATTTTTGCTAAAGTCATGATAAGTAAAGAAGCTTTCCATGTTTATTTTAATAATAATGATTTAGCAGGTTGAAAATCAAGAATACTCTCTGGACTTTTGGAAAAGATCTCTTAATCCCCTAACATGGATAGAAATACTCCGACAAGTTTTGGTTGCTGCAGGATTTGGTTCAAAACAAGGTTCTTTGAGAAGAGAGGCACTTAACAAGGTATTCCAAAACATTTAATTCTAGGACTGACTTTAATCAACTTCGTACTCTAGAAGAGATTTCTTTTTTTCCCCAAAAAATTTTTGGTACATATTTTTGAAAAGCTTTTTTAATTGCGTAAAGTTAAATAGGACACATCTTCTTGTCTATTTGTCCAATCTACTTAGACCATACAAGTACTCTAGAAGATACATACGTATATTATAATTCTAAAAAGTATGTTAGTGCTTATTTGTAAAAGCTTTGTCTGTTTGCATAAGTAAGTAGGATATGTCTGCTTGTTTGTTTGTCTATCTACTTTGACATATTTTCATGTAAACATCATATTTGAATTTTATGTTTGATTACTTGCAAACCGATCATTTGATAAGCTTAGTTACTGAAAAAGTTATGTTCCAGATTCATTGATCAAAATATCGGTCAATAGTAATTGTATCTATCTCTTTGCTGTTCATCTGTTCATCGTTCCTCATGCAAAAGTGGAAGAAACGATGCTTTGGTATTAAATAAAGTAGTGGATTGTTCAGCAAATCTCTTGTCCATTTACTTGCCACATTTTGATGGTAACAAATTCCAAGAAGTGAAATCAATGGTTTATATTATTATAAGATTCTTATAAACTTTCAGATCATTTATTATATTCCAGTGGAGTTGTAAAAATATCTACATTTTCCATCTCAGATGTGCCCCTGTCCATATTAAATTTTTCGTTGAGTAGAGCTTTGATTGCTCCATTTTTATTTTTAAAGAACAGGAGATCAAAATTCAGATTTTTTTTTGTCTTATATTTTTTTATTATCATTATCATCATTTCTTGTAATATTTTAAAGAAGCAGATAGCGTTCTTAGTTCCTAGGGGTAAATTTAATCTCGAAGGGATGGTGTTTATTATTTGTTCTGTTTCTATTCTGGATGGTACTTCTTTTTGGTTTTCGTATCATGTAAAGTGAGCTGTATATATTTTATCTTGGCTATTATCTTGTGTATGTCTTTTTCTGTAGGAATTGAATCTGCTAGTAAAGTTTGGCTTATGTGCTGGCACTTTGAAGGGCGAGTTATTTAAAATTTTGTTAGCACAAGGCAATAATGGGTCAAAAGTGTCTGAACTGGCAAAGTCAATGCAGGTAACTATCTGTATGATGTTATAGCCTGTCGTAATTGAAGATAGAATTTCACTGGTTGAGTGAGTAAATGCTTAAAATGAAAAAAGCTGTTGGATTGAAAATAACTATTGGCTATCTTGGTTACGTTTAAAATTCTTACTATTATATTTCTGGATTTGATTGTGATATTTTTCTATGTATCTGATGAATTTCAATTTTATTATGTTATGAAGATTGTTGAATTGAACCTTGCCAGCACGACAGAGGAGCTGGAATCTTTAATATATTCAACCTTGTCAAGTGACATTACTTTATTTGAAAAGATTTCATCATGTGCATATCGACTACGCATGAGCTCTTTTAAGAAGGACATTGATGACGTCCAGTCAGATACAGAAGACTCTGGAAGTGTAGATGAACTTAATGACGGTCACACATGGAGCAGTGATGATTTTGAATATGATTCCTGGAACTCCAACTTAAGGATATTGAAGCGGGCAAGCAATTCTATAATGAAAAATAATACACTTATAGCAGCCACTGAAATTGATGAGAGCCATCCGGGTGAAGTGTGGCTATTAGGGTTGATGGAGAGTGAATATTCAGATTTGACCATTGAAGAAAAGTTGAATGCGTTAGTGGCTCTAACTGATCTTCTTTCTTCTGGGTCCAGCGTTAGGATGAAGGTAAAGTACATATAATTTATATTTTGTCTTTGGATGGTAATCCCCACTTTGGAATTGGAGTAAAAGTTGAGCTCACAGTGTGAAGTCCTGCAATCCAAGTAATTTAAACTTTGAAGATGAGAGATAGCAACCTGGTTTTGGATACAATGTTCCTTTATAAAACTCAAAAGGAGGAAAAGCAATAGATTGATGTATTTTACTCATTGTATATTTATGAGAGTAATGCATATTTATTTTGTTTTTTTGTTAACCCGTTCAATTTATAAAATGATTTTGTTCTATAAATTTAAATTGGATGATCTTTTTTCACAGGATTCGACAAAAGTTACTGCTGATTACAGTTCAAGCATCCAGTTACGTGGCTCTGGAGCAAAAATAAAGAGGTCAATAGTAAAGAAGCCTGGGTCATATTGGAATCAGATCAGACCAATGCATTGTGTCAAGGAAGGGCATTCATCATTGAATCCTCACTCCTATCCAGTGGATTCCTCATTATTATTCTCAAATATCTACAGTGACGCAGAATCCTCTGAGAAGGCAAAAGAAGCAACCGAAATAGGTTTAACCAATTCACACCCCATTCAATCAGTGTTTCTGGGTTCTGACCGTAGGTACAATAGATACTGGCTTTTCTTAGGGCCTTGCAACGTGGGTGACCCTGGCCATAGGAGAGTTTACTTTGAATCTTCTGAAGATGGTCACTGGGAAGTGATTGATGATGAAGAGGTGTATATCTTGCCTTAATGATTTGTAGCACCATTTGACTTTTGCTTCCTAACGCATTAATTCTATGTTATAAATATAGGAATTGGAGAGGAAATATATCTGTTAGTTTGTGTTCTGTTGTCAGTGGGTTTATTTCATTTTAGTGCTAATAATTGTGCCCACTCTTCTAAACAATGGCAGGCTTTATGTGCCCTGTTGTCAGTTTTGGATGATAGAGGTAAACGGGAGGCACTTCTTGTTGAATCTTTGGAGAAGCTGAAAGACCCTCTTTGCAGGGCTATGTCCAGGATGATGGTCAACCACACTGGAATGTGCCATACGTCAAATTCTGATCAATCTGATCTTGATAGGATCACAGAAGACAGTTACTCTCCGATATCTGATGTAGATAACGTGAGCCTGATTGAGACGGCCAGTGACTCTCTACCTTCAGCCGGGGCTGTGGTGATAGAAGGTGGGAAGAAGGGAGTAGAACAAATGCAAAAGTGGATCCGTCTTCAAGCATATGATTCATGGATTTGGAATTCCTTTTATTTAAATCTCAATGTTGTGAAATATGGTAGAAGGTCTTATATTGATTCTCTGGCCAGATGTGAGAGTTGTCATGATCTGTTCTGGAGGGATGAGAGACACTGTAAAATTTGCCATTTGACATTTGAGCTTGATTTTGATCTTGAAGAAAGATATGCAATCCACACAGCCACATGCAGGGAGAAAGAAAGCAGTAATGCTTTTCCAAATCACAAAATCTTATCATCGAAGATCCAATCACTGAAGGCTGCAATTTATGCTATTGAGGTGAATTGTCATTTACATGTTCCAATTTTTATTTTTCATCAGATGTGGGTATCAGTGTCTGGTTTTTGTTGAATCATGCCACCATCTAAGGTATAAATGTATGTGATTTGAATGTATTGCAGCCATCTTGCCAGGAAGAAAGAATAAAATTTTGAAAGTTAGTGGGATTTGGGGTTTATGAGGGAACATTAATATTTTCCCCCTTGCCGTTAGTTTTATTTGGACAACTAACTCAGTTATGGAAAGCTATGTTGGGCACTATATTAGTGTCATTAATTTCTGATCCGTGAGAGTCTATACCACATTGATACTTTCATGTTCATAATATAGTATCATTTTTTCTGTTCTTAAAATTCTTTGAGATTTTTACATTAAGTTCTCGTGTTGTGTTTACTAGAACGTTTATATAATAAGTGTAAGTTTGCGTGTGCGTATAAATCTCTCTGATTTTGGTGTCTTACTTCTATTTGTACAGTCTGTTATGCCTGTAGATGCGCTGGTGGGTGCTTGGAGGAAGTCTGCTCATAAGCTATGGGTCAGGCGACTCAGACGCACTTCAACTTTAACTGAGCTATTTCAGGTTTTTTTTTTTTGCCTCTTAATGTTGTTTGTGTCACTCAAATTAGTTTTTTTCCCCCCACTTCCATAGTTTTTAAAATTTTATCCTTCAAACTGCCGTCTTTATTTCCTTATGTGATGCATACCTTTTTGTAGGTTGTTGCTGATTTTGTTGGTGCTATCAATGAGGAGTGGTTGTTTCAATGCAGTTTTCCTGATGGTCTGGTTGATAAAATAATTGCTTCTTTTGCACTTATGCCCCATACTTCATCAGCTCTTGCTTTATGGTTAGTGAAGTTGGATGCAATAATTGCTCCCTACCTGGACAAAGTCCAGCCTCTGAAGAAGCAGGACATTACTAAGAGGTAAATATATCTCTTTTGGATATCTAGGAAAGATTTTATTATGACAATTAGGAATTAATATATCACGTTGAATTTCTATGATGGTGGTGTTTTGTAGTTTTCACTAATCTTAATTGCTTTGTGCTTCTGAAATTTAACCAAATTGCCTCTGCCGTTCATCCACATCCTATACTACACTGATACTTGAAAAAACTAACATGCCTATATCGGATGCATGATATATATAGTTTTCTGTTTGAGGTCCCCCCCGCGGGCGGAGGAGGGGGTCATCCATCATGTCCCTTTTAAAAAAAAAAAAAAAAAATTTACTTGTGTTGGAATGGTGGGGTGCTAGCCCTCCAGGCCTCCGCCCTTCTAAATGTGCTAGATGAAGAGGGCAGAAAGGGCTCTTTGATCCGCTTCCCCGAACAACATGCACGCACACTCACATCCCTGTATCCCAAAATTATCGAGATTATTGTGTCTCACATATTCTTTTGTGTTGATTTTGATGTACGAATTCATATCAGTGCTATATTACACTTGTCATTCCTAACTTTTCACCCTCTACTTTCTCACTTCCCAACAATTGGTACTCTGAAGTTCTGGGCCGGTTAACTATACCATTGTTTACAAATTGTGCCGTGTGGTGCAAATCAAAAGGCCTTTTCTGTCCTGTAAACGACGGATTTGAACTTTCGGGAATTCACTTCAACCAGGGAACGAAGTATTATTAAAGAGAAGTCATGTAGGGGATGTAGCACATACCCACCATTACCAATTGCCCCATTTATTTTTCCTCCCCCGACATTTCACCCTAGGTCTGTTTTTTTTTTTTTGGGGGGGGAGGCGGCTCAAATCATGTATCTTAACGTAACATTTTCGATATGTTGAACATGTTTTAACTCACTGCAGAAGAAAATGTCCAAGCTATTGAATTGTCAATTCAAATATGTTTTCCTGTACAAAGTGCGGTGGATGGATTAGAATGAGTACAATTCCACTTTTAAAATTAAGGAAATGCATGTGTGGGGGTGTATTTCGGCTTAGAGATATGAAAGTTGTTGATATTGCCTTCTGGTCTGAAACTAACATGTTTCTTCCACTTATAAACCACAGAAAAATCTCTGGTGGTGTTTGACTCTCAACTTCGCTCTGAATCCTCTTCTCCGAGCAAGCCCGAGATGCTGTCTTTCTAATAGATCTTCCTTAATTATGCAGCAGCACTATCCTTTCGATTATGGTCACTTGCAAGTAAAAGAAGACAAACCTGTTTATTCTTATGGATTCAAGCGTTATTATGCTTTATTACTCCCCAGTGGTTTTATCATTCAGGATCAGATTTACTCTTGCTGGCGCCCTTCGGTCGAGTTTTTTCTGACTACATCTTGCCAAAAAAAATTATTTGGTGCGTGTATAATGCATAGCCCTTGTTCAATTTTTTTTTTTTTTGGGGATGATATACACAGACAACTGTTGATCAGATGTACAGCACTAGATTAGAATTAGGGTAACTTTTTGACTTTTTTTAGGTGCAGAATCCCTCCTTGATGCTAGGAGGTCGCCTGTGATTATTTGGCGGTGCTTGTCATGTTCTCGTCTGAGAATTCAATTTTGTCGTTGTATTTTAAGGAATATTTTGGAACATATGGAAGAATAAATATTGAATCAAGCTTTATACCGATTCAAGGCAATTTACTAATGCTTATTTACATTTGAATGGAATGGATGATGCAAATCGTAGTAAATATATTGGAATTCAACAGTGAAAATATAATGCCAAATAAGATCTTTGATTTTACAGTGAAATTTTAAAATTTTTATCTTGATTTGTAAATATTTCCCAACAATAGCCTTTTATGGGAATTCTCCCAAACCTAAATGTATTACTACTTAGAAATAGAGGCAATTTATAGTTGTTGACCATAACTTTTATTTATAAAATTCACCTCTAGGGTCTAAAGGGGGAAGAAACTAGTAGATCCTTCTTAAAAACATATTTTTGAGAATACATTAACAAGGCTGTGTGTTCAAGCAGTGAAAACATAGTTCAAGTATTTCTTATTCCTTCATGAAATAATAATATAAGACAATTTTAATAATTTGGTCAAACAATAGATTTTTAATATACCATAATTTGTTAGGATTAAAGTTTAATTTTGAGCACCTTCAAGTCAAGGGCATGAAATGTTTGGATGAGAGAATTACAGAAAATGCCTCAAAAATTACAAATATGCATCCTATTCACAGTATCACCAATTGAGTTCTTAAAATTACACATAAATGCTAAGAGACTAATGTTATTTCTTGCTCATATAAAAGACTCAAGTGTCATTTTAACCAAACCACTTTGATTGGTTGCTGGGTGATTATCGGATCACTATTGCTAACACCATTAAGTAATTAAAAATTAAAAATATTAAATTTGTTCTAATAATATCTTATTAAAATATTAATACTTTAATCTTTAAGTATTCAAATATTATTATTTACAAATCTTGACACAATTACAAATCGCTTTTTTGAGATTTACAAATATTAATTAATGTAATTTTTTGTGTGATAATCTTAATTAATGTATTTGTATAAATTATCACACTTTTAATTTTGACCGGCATTACACTACTTTAATTTATAGCTAAGCTAGTGTGAAAAACATAGGAACTTTTGTGGAAATCTTATAAACTATCACCCTATTTTAATTTACAGCTCAACCGGTGTGAAAAATACATTTACCCAGAAATCCTAGATACGCTAATTGAGATGTAAATTTTTCAAAGAAAGATTTATACATGACTACAGATTAGCCTTCAAATAACAAATATACTAACGAAAATTTGTAAATAATTATATTTAAATTATTAAATATTTTAATAAGATGTTAACAAATAAAATCTAATATTTTTTAATTAACCACCCTTGTTGCCGAGTCACTCTGTTTTCATGATAAAATCTCAATGACAAACATCTCTTTAACACATTTCTTCCTTCTTTTGTCCAACGCGTTATTGAGACTCGGTTTAACTGCGTTTTAAACTTCACCTCGTGCTACTCTGTTTGATGTGGGAAAATTTTACTTGATGATTTTTTACCTTAATTACACATACCTCCCTTCTGTTTTAAAAACATACATTTAAATCCAAACCATTAACATTGTTAAGAATATTCTAAAAAGGTAATTTTTAATTAAAATTTATATTAAAATTATTTTTATTTACTAACTCACCATTCATAATACTAAATCCCTAAATTTTAGTTAAAAAGTTTTGAAGAATTTAATTTTTTTTCTTTTGCTTAATTCTTTTTATTTTTCCAAATAACTCTTTAATAATTTTACCATATTGGGATATAAAATTAGCAGACATAGAAATCTTGAATGAAAATTTAATTAATTTTTTGAATAAACATGTAATTGACTAAATATTTAAAAATTTAAATTATGAATTTAAAATAACTTCTATAATCTCTCAAACTTAGATAATTTATATTATATGATGGAAAAAATATGTATCTAAGATATTTTGTAGCCATTTAAAAGAAACCTAAATAAATAAGTTTCAATATTTGTGATGAAAAGTTAAAATTATAAAAATTTTATAACATAATTAAAATTAATAAATTTTATTATATATTAAAAATTTTGAAAATACATGTATTGAAATTTTTTTTTTTGTATCAATGATTGTTTTTTGACAAATATAAATGTTTAAAGAAAAGAGGGCTATCTTAATTAAAACAAAAGTTTAAAAGTCAAATTTAATGGTCAATTAACGGTTGGATGCATGGAAATAGAATCTTAAATATACAAGAGATGTTTGTATAACATACATTTTACTTTTGAGGGAGGAGAGGAGGTTTTTGTAATTTAAGTAAAACAAAAGGGTATTTAGTGTATTTTATTCTAAATAAAAATCAATTACGAGCCAAGCCATATCATCATCATCAACGGCTCCTCACTCAAATAACTGTGTTATGAACAGTGATGGCTAATTGAACAGTAACGGCTAATTGTATCTGGCGGCGTGCAGCAGAAAGCTCCCACCCATTTTTCAAAAATCACACGTGTGTCCCTATATAGGTCAGTTACCTTGTAAGCCATGCTATATAAGTGGTGTGTCCCCAATGTTTTGTAAACCATGTGTCCCTATAATGGTTATAACTTATAAGGTCATTTTTCACCAAAAAAAAAAAAAAAAAAAAGAGGTAAACCAAAGCAATTCGACATACCAAACATGGCCATAGGGTACTAAGATGTTGCTGCGCCTGGACAGTGATGAGCTCATAGATCAGTTCTGTAACGTGCTGAAGCAGCGGAACTTTTGTTTATCCATAAGCAGTGGATCCTGCTAAATAGAAGGATTTCCTGTGAGATCTATGGTGATCCTGCTAAAGAGGCCTGGAAAGAGTTTGAGCCGGTGAGGGAGATGACAAAACTGGTCTGTGCTGTACAGTACGCTCTTGTGAAGAGGGTTCAAGGTAACTGCTGAATGATATGTTTTTATTTAAATGAGATATGATTGATTATTTAATACAGCTTACCAAGTATGTTTTTATTATGGTGTGTTTTTTTCTTTGCAGGAAGATCATCTGTGACAAACTATATGAATGCTATAAGAGTATTTTGGAACCCAACATTTTATGAAGTCCATCACTTGAGGAGGGAGCTGCTGAAGGATACTTGGAGGAGTTGAAGCTGTTTCTTGTTAGCAGGATAGTTTGTCTCAGACTAGATGTTTTGTTAATGATGGAGATTTTTTTTTTTTGAATCCTGAAGTAGTAAAACTTCAATTATGTATTAAGTTATGTTTGATCAGGTCTGGAAACTTTTTGAATGTACTGATCGGGCAACTATGCTTTGATGGTGGCCATGTATGGATTGTGAAATCGTTTTCAATCTAAAGGGTCCAAAGTGCATGTATATGAAGATGGTGTAGAGTAATCTAAATGATGTGATGATTAAGTATATGTTACTTTTATGGAATTTGTCTTATGTGTAGCATCGGCAGCAGAAAAAACTTGCATCTGTCATGCAATTATATGTAGACTGTTTTGACTTGACAAAATTAACACAAGAAGTTGATCCAGTGTGCAAACGAATATAAAGAGAATATGAGTAGTTAGAAGAATTAAAAAATGTATTAAAACTGACATTGTGGATAATAATTATGCAGTGTTAAGACAAGAGCGAATTGTGCATGGCATGCTTTATATAGGATTTAGTCATTTAAGTAGTAATATGCATGAAGTGATTATTTATCACGGTATAAACATGATATAATTCTTTTGTGATTTGTTTTTACTGAATGTACATACAATATTTGAGGTCAGCTCGTATTAGTTTTCATCTGAAATTGTATTGGTTATCTGAGCAAAAGCATTAAGATTACATGCAACCAAATTTGGTTGGCTAAAGTACTTCTTGATTAAATATTTTTCACTTTGTTACTCAATATATATTTTTGTATTATGAAATTTGTTTGGTTGACATGATCGTGATCGTAAGGTTGAATGCTGAAAGCGTGGTGTTTGAAGTCTTCCCTACTGTGGTCCTGAAATTTTATGTCTGTTTGTTTTGAGGTGCTGTGATGAGCATGAATCTAAAGAGAGTCCAATCCCAAAAGACTAAATTATCAGAAGGGATAACTCCTTGAACTTATAAACCCCACAACACTTGTAGGATTTCCTAATGTGGGACTCATAACAGAACAATCTCGGCAGCTCACTATACAGCACTTCACTCGGTCTTCTTACCAATCAGAACCCTCCGCAGGTAGTCCTTTCCAGTTGGCCGACTCTCAATGAAAACACCAATGTGATGAGCATAAGCCCAAAGGAGAGCCTAATCTTAAAGACTAGTTTATTAGGAGGAAGAACTCCTTGAACTTATAATCCCCATAACACTAGTGAGATTTCCCAATGTGAGACTCATAACAGGTGCAGGGTAAGGTTATGCAATAATGATATCTGACTTATTAGGTCCATGTGAAGTTGGCTGGAAAGCAGCTTTTTCGTCTAAAGTTAACTCTACTTGTGCTGATACGAAATCAGGAGATGATTAGACCATAAATCATTTAATTTTCATATGTGAAACTTTATGCATGGGGGGGGACCGTGGGTTGATTTTATTGCAATATTCTTTTCGTTAGAACCTTTTAAATTATATAGTACTCTAAATCATATGAATTCTTTCGAAATAAAAAGAAAAATAATGTGATGTGAAGCAGCTTTATCATATCTGTTATGGAATTTGAGCAGTGGGTCTTTTAATGAGTTTCTACATTAAGTCAGTGAATTTACACTTTTTACGGTTTGCTGATTAAATATTCAATAATTTTCGTTTAAATTGTTGGATATTATATCCATGAGGACATGGTTCTGGTACAGTTTATGTGCTTTGTTTGAACTGCCATCTGTTTTGGGCTTTTGACAGTTATTGTGAAGCATGTAAACAGGGGAGGATGGTGTATTTTGAATTCATTGTGCTTTGTTTATTGAAGTTTTGATGTTTATGAATGTTTGTAGGGAACTCAGAGTGTTGAATTTATAACCAGGCTTCCACATCCTTTGAGTAATGCAAAGAAGAAAAGTAGGAGCACTTGGTCTGATTTCAGAACAGCTGTGTGTATATTAGGAGCAAACTAAAAGCACTGTGAGCAATGCATTTGTGATCAGAAGGACCAGGTTAAAGGCAAATCATTAAGTACATGTTACATAATATTGATTTTTATAATATTTAGAAGTAAGAAGGACATAGTTTGACATGTGAGAAAGGTTGCTTGTAACTTTTTGCAGTAAAACAGATTTAGTATTATTTGTCTTGTTTGATCAAGATGGTCAGCTTTATTGCAGCATGAATAAGTAAAAAGGTTTTGTTTTGTCTGTTTTGTTCAAACGTTTCAGCATTGCAGCATGCGCATAGGGAGGGTAGATGTTACACAATTTTGGCTTTGTTAGTATGAATAGGTGATAAGCTTTTATAAACTTCAAGCAAAATATTCACTTTGTAAGTTTGTCATGATCAAAGGATGTTGGTTGACTTTTAGCGATGATGCAACTTAGTATTGCTTTTGAAAGTTTATGTTACAAAGCATTGAAAAGAAGGGTAAGGATTGTGATTGATTGGAAAAAATAGGTGAAAAGAAAAGTTTCACAATGCATATTTGTTGTTGCAGGTTATCCAACTGCTAAAAAGCACACGTGTGTGCATAAGAAGTTCTGAGGAGTCAGATTTTTGTTGGAAGGCTGGTGATATAACTGACAGTAAGCTACCAGTACTTCTTAGTTTGATAATTATTTTTTTTAGTCTGTCAATCTTTTGTGAGTGGGTGTTTAAATGGGTTGAAAAAACTTTTGATATACATTAATTATTCACATGACATGCAGGCCATGGGGAAGTTGACGCTCCATTTTCTGGTGCCAAAGAAAGTTACTATGAGTTGACGGTCATTAATGAAATATGGTTTAGCCAGGAAATATTTAGATTTATACACATATGTTTGACGATATATAAGTTTAGCTGTGAGCAACCATGAGTAAGTGATGTTAATTGGGATTCATTGTATCTGAAGGTTTCCTAGATTTCAATTAAGATTACCAGTCTATGAAGGGTCCTAGGTAGATAATAACCGTTCAGTTTTTTTCCTCACTCATAGTAGCATTTGACATGAAAGGCCGAGGGAAGTTATCACTGATTCAAAATGTATCTGAAGGTTATTTAGATTTCAGGATAGTTGGCACACGATGCTGTTTACTTGATTTTGTTAGATCATTGATTCGAAGTGATATTGTGCATGTGAAGGTGTAAAAGACAGTCTACATTGAGCCCTTGAAGTTACTGAAATCAGAGTTGTTAGGATTGTAGAGGAATAGTGTGCATTATGGCTTGTATCCTGCCAATTGATGTGTGTTCCAGTTAATAGATGATCTTCTGTTACTTCCAATCTTCAGAAAGTCAACTGCAGATAATAAAGAAGTTGATACATGTCTCAACCCCCACCCTATCCTTAGCTTCTCCTGCTAAAACAAGATAGTGGCAATCCCTGACATGAGGGAGTGAAGAGACCCAGATTCTTGCTAATCAGCAAGTTCTAATCAATTTATCAAGTCCCTCTGCCAACTTTAAACAAGGATTCATTTTTGGAACTTTCTATTATACTAATTTGGATTATAATTAAACAAGTATGGAGACTATCCAAGTATTAGAAACAAAATCTCGATATATAAGGGATTATAATTAGACTGGTGAATTTGAACTTGTGCTATTAATTTCAAGGTGTTGATGATATCACCCAAACCAAAACTAACATAAATAAATCCCAACCAAGAGTAGGTTTAGGAATATGGAGCCAAAATGTTAGTACATGTATCAAGCCCCACTCTAGAGTGGGGATAAATATGGGGGAACTCTAACTACATGATTTAATAATTTTTTTTAATGCAGAGAGGTGTCTAGTCTTTACAAAATAATTAACCTTGTTTTGCCTGTTAATGGCAAATATGTCGTCTCACATAGCATGTCAATCTTATTCAAGTAAGTACATTTTATTTTGCTTCTGAAAAGTTTAGCTGACTTATAGGAACTTTTACTTGTGTACACCGTTGTATCCTGCTGTTAAGGATGACTACCCTACCATGGTGTAATTTGCTTGCTGGATTAGTTTTTCATTGATAAGATGTGAGGATAATGATTCTTGAGCATACAAAATTAGGCCATGCATGAAATCTATAGGAAAAAGAGCAATTGAGAACATTTTCTGATAATGATTTGCTTACAGCAGATAGCAAAAGTCTTGTCAACATCCAATATAGATTTCAAAAAAAAAAAAAAAAAAGTTGCCGCTTTGTTCCCCTTCAATATAGAGAGGCGTTTCGAAATGTTAGTATGTGAGTTTGATAGAGACATTTTTTATTTTGTGAATTGTAATTGTTTGTAGCACAAGATTTTTACACTTATTTACGGTAAATTTACCACTTATCTTTTGGATTGCTTGTTTTTGTTTGCTAGAAATATTAGTTATGCCATGGCTAAATCTCATAATTAGATAAGTGAAATTAATGCTTCCCACACATCCTGTTGAGGGAACACACTAGTTCTTTCTAATGTATTAATGAGTCTAACTCATACAAAGTTATTGTATGAATTTATATGCAAACCTGTTCATGAGTATTTAACATCATAAACTTTTTTTAGTGTAAAAAATATATGAAGTTTTTAAAATTGTGCAAAAATGTCATGACCCTTAACTAACATTGATTGTTTATAAAACATACAAATAAAAAAATTGTCAAAAAATACATGAATTTTTCAAAATCGTACAAAAACATCATGCCCCTTGGAAACTTCATGTGTATTTTTATGCAATTTTTTTAGTTCACAAGTTCTTTTAGAGGTATTTCAGGGCATTCCAAAGTCACTTGGGACAATTTGAACTTGAGATTATTTCCCATTGGACTGAAAATGTTTGAAGTTAAAATCTTCCCAACAAAAATGTTTCTCAATATTCACTGCATGTTTTTTTTTTGTTGACATGTTTATTATTAGTTCATTTAAATGCAACCGCGCTGAATGATAAAGACGAATTCCCCTTGTCTTCGCCATTTTAAATACTACCTGAAAATTTTTGTACCTGAAAATTTTTTTTTAGTACTTGATAATACTCTTTCAGTCCTTAATATATAACCTATTTAACTAATTTGATTAGATTAAGAAATTTAGGTAAGTTAATTTATTATAATAAATGTGACACATTTTTTCTAAAACACCATAACCATCTTTCTTAATATCTCTTCTCACTCTTCTACTTGATTATGGTTTGAAAGAATATTCAGAAGAATAATTTAGAGAAAATTGATAAATATAAAAACTAGATCTTATATTTAAGACCAAAACTAATTTAACAATTAAATTCTATATCAAGTAACAGATGAGTACTTTACAAATGTATTTACACCGTTCCACCAACACCCGCGCCAAATTTTAACTAATATTAAAACTTGCTTATCTGGCTCCATAGTTTGCCTTTACACGATTTCAATGGAAGAAAGGAAAACAGATACCTCTATAGAAACATGTTTCTCATGGAATGCTCTCGTAGTCACAACAAAGTAAGTCTTAACATTTATAATATATTGGGGAAAATTTGTCATAGGAAGCAGTTCACATGACGGAATTGACAGGAATGCGCTCAACATACAGTAGTTGCTTCAAGCTTTTCCTCATGTTAACGTTCTTCTCTTCCTTCCATCGAATTATGAAGATGTCTTCATTTCCTATTTTATCTTATTTACTGCAAAACAACCATATGGTTTCTTAATATCATCTAGTTACCATTAGAAAACACTAAATCCCACTGCAGCAAGAGAAACCCCATTACGAGATGCAAAACAATTATTTTCTGGCCCTAAGCAACGACAAGAACCCTCAAACACTAGTTCTAAGCTAGCCGTCAAGGCTGCTCATTTCATTTCGGATTAGAATTAAGATGATTTGACCAAAAAGGCACTAATTTACATCACAGCACAGCTCAATTACGCATCTTGTTATCCAAGGTTCCCAATTCGCATCCCAGAATATGATCACGAATCTGACATGGAACAAAGGAACTCAATATATTTAAGCGAAAGCGTACAAAGAGTGAAACCCACTTCACTTCTCTAAAAGACACTCTCTCATCTAGTATCTTTGTTCTATAAGTTCCTGCCACTAAAGAGAGCAAAAAGTGGCAACGAATTCATCAGCGTTAACTTGTTACCGGTCCAAGAAATGGGAGTCGAAGTGTTCTGAGGAAGCTGAGGTATCAAGCAGTGTTGTTGCTGCCATGGCTGCAATCCCTCAGTTCCCGCTAATTCACAATGCATTGTTGCTGTTGGGTGTATAGATGAGTTGCTATAATCTTGTTCTTCTACCTCCATGGATGCTTCTTCTTCCATTTGGTCAGCTTCCATCAACTCTGTATTCGAATCTTGAGCACCTGGGGTAGACTGGAATTGAGAGGGTGCCCATGGCACAAGAGCCAAACGATCACGGTTATTCTCGTCTCTGCATATTGCTTCTTCCTCTACACATTGTCTCGACCAAGGACGTTGATCTGTTAAAAATAGGAATCGGAATGAATCATCAACAAGCCAATAGAAAGAAGGAGGAACATGCAGAAAAGATGGAGAATGAACACTTACTGTTAATTGCAGAAACAATGTCAGAATCGACAGTGAAAGAGAAAGATGAAGGAGAAAACAACGGAGAATGATTCACAGGCTTGAATAACACAAGAGCCCTCTCCTGGTTCTCCGATGCAGGGGAGGGGACTTCTGGAATAATCGGAGGTTGCTGAGCTACTTCGGGTTCCTCAATCGGCGGCAAATCGGCATCCTGTGAAAATCCAGACAGAGTCGGAATGAAATTGAGGCCAAAAAACTCCCAAATTTGGGAAGAAGATGAGAAAAACAGTGAATAAGGAAAGTACCAGACGGCGAATCTTGGTTGCAGAGGAGGAAATGGAGAAATCCTGATCAACTTTCCTCTTCATCTTGATGAGCGATGATGATGATGAAGACGACGACAACGACGAGCGAAAACAGATTACAACAAAGAGATGCGCTCTTCAGCTTCGCTCTTCGGCGCTATTTATCAAACGTCATTGAATATACCCTCTAGACTTCTCCAGAACTCGTCTCGCTGAGCCACCTAAGACCTGCTTCCTGCTTTTTCCACACAAATCTTTCCGAAAATAAAAAAAATAAAAATATAATTTTCATCAAACTTATATATTTCCATTTCTTTTTGTCACAATGTATATCTTTCTTTAGACTATACATACGATGGCTTAGTTTAGGCTAAAAACAAGGAAAATGACAAAAAAGACTAGGCCATGAATATTATAAAATCCCAAATCAAGTATTATAGAAATATGGTGTTACTTGCAAGTCAAATATCCTCAAAATCCATTAAAGTGTAGTACAAAAAACTCTAATTTAACTTATAAAAAATGTATTGTTATTTAAAAATCAAATATTATCATGACCTATTAAAGTGTACTAATAAATTGTAATTTGAAATTTAGTAATTTTTAAGGTCATTATTTGTCGTTCTCCACGAAAACGATGGTTTATTGTAGAATCTATAAATTCTTGTTTGGCAATTATATTTTATTTTTAGTTTAATTTGTATTATTAAACTTTTTTAATTACACTTAGGGCACATTTTCAATGTATGGAATGAATTTTGTAAAATAAGTATGTACATTCATAATTTGTGAGTAATATAACTTGCTATAAGTTTTATTAATATGATTCACCTTAAATACAATACAAGTCTGAATTTTCAAAAAAAATATATTTATACTGATATATGGTAATGTTAACACAATTATTTCAAATAATTATATTTATATTATTTCAATTAGTTTATGTCAGTTATATATCACGGTAACTTTTGGCCTATATATGTTAAATTTGAATTGATACATAATTTATTTTCATCTATTTTATTGAGGCAAATTATAATTTAGTCTTCTCGTTTTAGATAAAGTTTCAATTAATCCTTTAATTTTAAAAAGTATTTATTTTTCAATCCTTTAAATCTAATATTATTAGTCTCAAATAATTATTTTATAATAATAACTATTTTAAAAATAAAAAATTTTAAAATCTGAGAATATTTTATGTAACATTTAAAATTTTAATATTAGTTTTTTTATAAAAAGCTAAAAAGATATTTTATAAAATTAAGCCAATACTGATGTAATAATGATATATTACTTGGGGTTGGGCCTAAAAAAACTTACAATATTTATCTACGGTTAATAGTTAATTAATATTTTTTTCTTTAACTGAAGCATAGGTATCCTCTTATTGGAGGTAATTCTATTTGAGGAACTGTCGAGTACTAAATGAGGGTACTTCTCCTAGTAGGGATTCGAATATTAGTTCGTCACGTTGTGAGAAACTAATTTCTTCTGCTAGATCCAATTCCTATTGGTTGGTTAGTTAATACTTTTCATTACAAGAGACACACGCCCTTTTGCATGGCCCGTGGGTCGAGGTCCATTCTTAACAAATGGACTTCATATCTCGTTTACTCAATCTACAATCCATATGAAATTAGAAATTGGTCCGGTTAGTAAATATTAGATCCATAATTTATAAGGTTGTGAGTTTAAATCTCATTCTCAAGTTAAAAACCTTAATGATAAGTAATCTATAAATACTTTTCTGAGTATAAAAACATATCCTGACTTGATGATCCTAATTGATTGAGTTAGGAGTTGAGTTTGTTCATATAAGACGTTGGATCCTTTAACAATTATTCCTCTATTACATTCTAGTTGAGTTCACCAAAAAAGAGTTGCATTCTAGTTTTTATCAGTGAGCTAAGTAGTATTTTACTCTTGTATTTTGTCTTTGAAACTCTAAGGGTATGTTTGGATTGACATTAGGCAAAACTGACTTCTAACTCAACTGATTTTTGTAACTAAAGTTAAAATAAAAGTTAGTTAGGGTATGTTGGATAAGTATTTTTAAAAAGTCAGTTGAAAAAGTCGAAAGTTGTTTAAATGATTAATAAAAAAGTTAGTTTAGTTGTAAAATGACTGAAAAGAACATGAACTTTATTGAATAGTAGTATTTGAAATTTTATGTTTTTAATGTGATAATAGTTTAAAAAATATGTAAAATTATTATGATAAAATATAAATAGTTTATTTGTGAAATTATAAAATAAAAATATTTGTTATAAAGAAAAATTTGAAAACACATTGTAAATAATTAATTAAATATACATAATGGACAAATATGAATATAAATTAAAATTTATTTGGTCTGAATAAAAGCTTATTATGCTAACGAAAGAGATGAGACAGAGGGAAAAATGTGAGGGAAAATCTGGGATGTTCATTTTTAATAATCACCGTTTGAAACTGCAGTTTGAAAAGTCATATTTTTTTCCGTTGAGTCTAACTGAGGTTGAAAGCCAGAAGTTGGTTGGAAAAGTTAATCTAGGCAAGCAATAGTTTTTGTCCAATTCAGTTTCATAAATTCCAAAACACAACTGTAGTTCCAAACTGCAATCCAAACAAGTCCTAACTTTCTCTAACCCGTTATCCATTTACTCTTCAATATTTGAATAACAAGTGCTTCTATGAACATTATATGAGGCTTCTGCCTGGTTATTTGATTATGATACTCAGTCATATTCGTTTACTCTGTAGTTACCTTTTCTAACAAGTGTGTTAAATGCTCCAGCCCAACGGCTAATTCACATTGATAACAGCTAGAATTACTTATAACTATTACTCTTCTGATCTTATTTATAAGTCATTTTCAATATGTTTCATACAGATCAAGAAAAACCTTAAAATTTATTTATTCTCATTTAAAATTTAACAACTTTTCAACTTTATCTCTATTTAATATATATTACACTGTATTTAATATACATTATACTTTTTCTTTCTGGTATATAAAATTGTACATCTATATAAAAAATTTTTCTCTCAGTACCCTATAAATAGGACCAAAAATTATTTTTTCTTTCTAGCATATAAATAAGAAGAGGAGTAGTTACTTAGAAAAAAAAAAGAACCATAAATAGAACCATTATTTAAGTCTTAGACAATAAATTTTATAATCGCCAAGTGTTTTTTTGGGCCTTGGTAATCACCAAGTGTTGAAACTCTTAATTTTCTAGATGTTTCATTGATTATATCTGAGCTAACACTTCAACTGCCAACTTTGTGCTTCGTCGTAAACACCCAAGCTTTTGTGAAGGTTTTGATTCTTCATCACTCGTGTGATCTTTCTTCTTATTCTATGAGATATTTTCTCAAGTAAGTTGGTATCTTGAGGGGTATGTACTACTACTCCACGGTAGGGAGTAAGGATCAAAGTGACTTAAATGGTGAAGAGATCAAGTAGATACGTTGAGGTCATGCTAGAATACGATTCAATTCTAATTGGAATAGAAGAAAATCCCAAGCGAAGAGATCAGGTAAGTCTACGAAGGTACGGCAAAAAGAAAAAAATATGTTTTTGTTCCCACTTAGAAGGGGAGAAAGAAATTATTTTTCAGTACAATTTTATCATTTAGTTATTATGGTGCCGATTTTGTTCTCATGGAATATAATATATATTAAATAAAAACAAAGTTAAAAATTGTTAATTTTAAATGAGGGTTAATGAAATTTAAATTTTTTCTTAATTTGGATGAAATATGTTGAAAATGATTTATAAATAGAATAAGTGAAGTGCATAGTTTATGCTCATGAGGATTGTGTTAAATTAGAAATTTCTCTTTCGTGCGACGCATGGATTAGTGTATTTGCTGAAATTTAAAATTAGACAATATTCACATCAAGTTTCTTATATTTATTATATTTAGCTCTCCAATCACACATGACTATATGTCGTATTTTTCAAATATTAACATTTAATTATAAATCCACATGAAATGAAATCCCATTTAATAATGATGCTCCCCCAATTAATTCAATATATTTGAATTCAAAATTAATTATTAATTTTTCTATTTGAGCCTCCAATTGAAATCTCATTTAATAATAATATTTCCTATTTAATTTAATATATTCAAATTTCAATCAAGATGATATTCAAATCTCATTAGTTAAATATTTTTGAATCCCATAATGTCATATACGACTCATTTTTAAATGAATCGGGTATTATAAGATTTCAGGAATATAATTGATGATTGATTGATAATAATTGATCACTGGTATAAACATTATATTCTGTTCTCTCACTCTCTACTCTGTCTTCTTTTAAGTCATTTTAGCTTCACAGTTTGTTTTTAGCTTCAACACTACTCTATCACTTGTGTGTTAGCTTTTTCAAAAGAAAAGTTTAATACTAGATTTGCCTCCTTTTGGATAAGTAGCCAACTTACAATAGTGAATGTTAATGTGTTTAGTTCCATAATATGTTATTTATGGTAGTTAATACAAGATTTATTTGACTAATTTCGAGAAACTAAGAAAGTTATAAAAATACTTTAAACTATTTATATTTATTATTTTTTTAAAACTAATTTACCTCACTTATAAATTAATATATAATCTAATGATCTATATAAGTATTTTAGAAAGATCATGTAACATATGCTATAATTAAGTAATTTATTAAATTTCTTAATATCTTTAAATTAGTCAACTGAGTCTTATATTAAGGACCAGAGATAGTAGTTGATTTTGATTTTATTTAGATTTATATGGTAAATTAATCCATGTATAATATGTGTGTTGAGTAAGAATCATGTCATCAATGTTATTTCTCTTACAAATTAACAAATGATGAGTATAGAAACCAATTACATATAACTGAAAAAAATTATAATGACCTAATAAAAAGAAAGCACAACAAGAGCTTAAAATGAGGTGACATTGCCTGAACATGTATATTAATTTTTTTCATAAAAAATGGAAGGAGTGTATTCTTTTTCCTGTCACTTTGTAGGAAATTAAATCACATTAAGTATAAACAGTGTAGGAAGAAATACTAATTCAAAAGAAATTTTCTTATCACTTTGTAAATTTGGATGCTTGGCTAAGCATATATGACTATTTTGTCCTTCAACGAATAATGCTTTGTTTAATGTTAAAAATGAAATAATACCTAATTTTGCTTCATCCCATCATATTACGTTTTAGACAGTTTTGGCCAACCGGCAACTCTTGTTTATATGATGTAGGGCTACCAGACAACTCAATTTTCTGGACTCATTTACCAAAAAGAAAAAAACACCCGGGGCACAAGTGATAAGGATTATTATTTTGTAATATCACGGTGATATTATTACGTTTGATTCTTAATACAAGAATTAATTTGAGAATTAATTTAATTTTAAATATAAAACTTTAATTCACTTTATCTCTAATATTTATTTATTTTGTCTTTAAATAATTCTTATAGTAATTATACATGTTAAAAAGTCAGGTAATTTAAATGTAAATGATTAATAAAGATATTTTAAAAAAATAATATCTATTTATTATAAATAATTAACTTAACTAATTTACTTAATATATATAAATTAATTATTTAATTTTTATATTAATGACCATGGGTTTGTGGGTACTACAGTTGACTTAGGCAAATTTCAGTTACATTGTCAATTGCACCGAACTCACGAGACTTCAGGACAAAGCATGGCGGTATGATTAAAAATAAGATAATGTTGTCTTCATAAAGTTACTTTTTAATTTCAGACAAAAACCACCGCTTCGAGATCAAATCAGAATGGAGAATTAGAAGATAAAGATGGAATATTAATTTTAGGACATTAAAACTCTGACAACTTTAAACAGAAGTGAAAATGTTGAATTTTGATATTTATTAAATTATTAATTACTATTATTTTAGTTCAAAAGTTAAAGGGACTTGCTTATATATATATTTTAATATTTTTCACATTTCAACTGATTTTGTTGAACATCGAATAGTAACCATGCGACCTTATTCATAAAAAAAGAAAAAAATTAAACACCTTCTTTATAATTCTTGTGATGTTTCTTTTTTTTTTTGGGCATAAATTTTAAAATAAACCATCTAGATGAAATAATTACAAGTAAATATTTTCACTTATTTTGAAATATAAAGTACAAAATTTATTTTGATTAATAACGAGAACAGATTCAATTAAAATACTCCTAATAATTCCTATTAAAGTATTGTAAATTTTTTTTTTCCCAGATCAAACTATTCCAAATTATCAACATCTATGTTCGACCATCCTTGTTATTTGTTAATTAATTACATGAGTTAGCTTAATGGAGCTAAGTATATTTATTTTTACATTAAGGAAAAATACAGAAAAAGACTCTGAAAAATACAAAATTCCAAATAAGATATTTTCACAAAATGTCTTGTTATCTGTGAGTTAATTGTTATGAAAAACTTATTAAAGACTAAAATTTTGATTTGGAATTTTGTAATCTCTACCGTCCTTATTCGTTATTCTCTCCAAAATTAATAGTTGGGGAAAAAAAAAAAAGAAGAACCAAAATTAACATAGTTTGATTTGATTTAAACGTATAAATAGAGACAGGCAGTTTTCATGGAAGCTAGCTGGGATAAACAATGTCAATTTACATTTAAACCGATTTTACCGCTAAACCAACCATTCGTGTTGTTCGATTGATCTCTTTCAGACTATACTGCATCGTGTCTATGTCTCTGAGATGGATTTTCTAACGCCTAGCTTCTGACGTTTGAAGAACAAAATCCTCCCTTGCATTGCGCAGTGGAAGAAGTTGCAGCCAGCACCAGCAATCCTATCGTCTTACATTCAAGCATTTTTTGGACAATGGCCGCGTTCTCTTGGCCCCATGAAGCCGAGGTACACGTGATCTGCAGCGAACAATAATCTTAACACATTGCGATTTCTTTTCTGGCTTAATATCCCGTCTTTTTAATTTTTTGTTTTGGGCCTTTTCCCTCAAGATTTGACGTTTCATGGGTTCTCTGTTTTTTGTCATTACTGTGGACGACATAATGTAATTGCCGTTTGAGATTTATTTTTATGGGTGCATTGCATGGTTAGAATCTGCGGGGATTTTGGACCCAGCTTCTTGTATTTTAGAATCTTCCTCTGAAAAGCCAGAATTTGCATTGGTGTTGTATTAGATGAACAGTGACTGAATTATATAGTGCTTGAGAAGAATACCCGAATGAAATTGGTTAGCAATGAGCAAGAGTTGAATAATATGTAATACGGGGATCAGCTTTAGCAATCCGATGGGAATGCTATATGAAGTTCTCTCTCGATCTTAACAGTGTTCTTTTCGAAGTGAATTCAGCATTAATGTAGTTCTTTAAATTTGTCGGAGCAAATCTAGGAATAGAAAGTTATCAGTGGAGGAAGAAATTGATTTAAAACGTAGGAAAACAAAAATCGAGGTCCTGAACTGGAAGGCCAAAGGAAGCATTTCTTTCTAATAGCATAATAGTATTTTTACCTTGGTTTATACTACACTATCACTGATTCATCCTTATGTAACTTACAGTTAAATCGAATGAGAAAGGTAGTTTCAGAAATGGCTGGGGTAGATAAAGAGAAAGTTCGAGTTGTGGTATCTCCTTATCGAATTTGCCCTTTGGGAGCACATATTGATCATCAGGTACTATAGTTTACTTTTCAGTTGTGTTAGTGAAAATGAAACTCAATGATTGATAGACAATTACTGATGTATAAATGCGCTGTAGCACTTACTAGACATATTAGACCTGTTGGATCTCTTGGTGATCTTTCTTATGCTGCCTCACCTCACCCAATTCGATTTGACTTAACTATGAAACTTGTGATATGACCAGATTCTCTTACACTTTCCATTGGTATTGGCAGGGGGGGACTGTTTCAGCTATGACAATCAACAAGGGAATACTTCTGGGGTTTACACCTTCTGGCAGTAGTGAGGTAAATTTAGAAACTGTGCTCAGCTAACAAGCTTACAAAGCTTAAGGGAGCATGTGGTAATCTCTTTCATTCATTTGACAAACTTAGATACGTTAAATTAATAGCAGAAAGAATGAAACTATAAAATCAAGGGAAAATTAACTGATTTTTTGTATCAAAAGTGCAAAGTGAGAAGACGTGGAAGAGGAAGCCTTTGTAGGAATTGATATCTGTGTGTGATGAGTGGTGGCTGAAAACACATAAACGTAAATTTTATATCCTCACGCAATTGGACTGTTGTTCTTAGCACTGCTTCCTCTTTGAGTGTTTCTGCTTTGCCTCCCAAATTTTTTTGCTGTGTTGTTGTAGCATAGTTGTCCAGTCAAAACTTCACATTTTTATTTTTAACTTTTTTTGTTTTTTACTTTATTCCCTTTGTGGAAAATTTGTTCTATGTACAATGTTTGTACATGTCAATGAATGATATCTGAAGTCCTTGCATTTAGAAGTCAGTGATAAACTGAGAATGTGCCAGTTCTAATTCTTTCCGTGATGTGCAGTAATCGAATTTTACATACTGCAGCATAGTTGTAAGGTTGTGGCACACTCTTACTCTGCTTTGGGTCATCCTATTCCTTGGGTTGATCCTGGTTAGCTTTGGCAAATAATCATTAAATAATACAATAAACTTGGTTATAGTGTAGATGAGTATGAGCTGGTTCTAGGAACTGTTAAAAAATGCTTGCCATAATTTTCCAGGATTTTCAACATTAGTTTTGGAACATGTAAAAGCTTACGCCTAGCCTTGTTGAAATAAACTAAACTGAAAAAGAAATCAAAGTTAAGATGTCTCATTTCAGAACAGTTGAAAGGTCAATTGGTGATTACTTATAAAATTAGAAGGACTAATTACAAACATAACCTTTATTGCACAACTCAATGTCGCATAAGATTTAACAAGCATATCCAAGGGGACCGATACGGCAACACAACAATCTAGAGTTTCTAGGTGTCCGTTAATCATTCAATTTGTGTCTTAGTTGTACAGGACGTGCAATGTTGCTTCTTAATATATCCATGCTTCATAGGATGCTGTAGTCCCCTGTTTTTATATCATGATGAGTTACATATTCTACTATCTTGTCTATTTGTTTTCGGGTCCTGTGATCTTTCAGTTCATATAGCTTATAGTTTCAGATGATCTCCTCATCTTACTTAGCATTCTTGATACTTATTCTGGTTAGTACTAGTTTCTCTTGGAATCCTAAGTGTACTTTTAAAGTTGTGTTGGTATTGCTTTGTTTTATGCATATATTTTAGACAAAAAGATTGGGTCATTGAAAATTTATTTGAAATTTTAACATATAAGCTAAGTTAAGGAAATGTAGATATTCTTATAAACAATTATGTTTATCTATTTGATGAACAATATCCCTATGATTTTCTTGTAGGTTGTAATTCGATCAGGACAGTTTCGAGGAGAAGTTAAGTTCAGGTGTGTGGTCTGTGTTTATAAGGCTTCACATCTGTCTGTGTTTTATTCTCTTTAATATTCGTAATTTCTCAATTTATTTAAAGCTTAGTTATGCAGGTGGCTAGTAAAAAAATTAATTTGCTGTCATTATTTATATGACAAAATATTGTATTCGGCGAACTGTTATGTTGATTCAGTTGCCTCTCCAGTATCAGGCTATTCTGATTTTCTTACCATGCTATCCTTTTCTCCAATATCCTTATTACCCCTATACATTTTATGGAATGTTGGTTTTAAAATGATTGATATATATTAGAGTTGACGAGGTTCAGCAGCCAAGACAACCTCTTCAGAATAATAATGTGAATCAGACAAAAGATTCCTCTCAGCAAGAAGAATGTGAATGGGGGCGTTATGCTAGAGGAGCTGTGTATGCACTACAAAGTAGGGGAAACAATCTTTCCCAGGTTAGAAAATATGCTCTGGTGGTGCACATTGTAGATCATCATTTAATTATGTCATTTTAGTGAGAGTTGTACTTTTCTTAGACAAATATCAGAATCATTGCTTGACTTTTATTTGGAGAATAATGGGATAAGACAATACTTTTCCATTGGGCTTTAACTGCTCTGTGATTTAGGTTCATGCAGATTGCAAAAATTGGTTAAATAAATGGATAATCTCGTGCCAAGTTTACCATGGCTTTGCATTTTCGTGAGGAATAGAAATGTGTCCGTCAGTATAATTTGAGAAGTCCAAAGTTAGTTAATTTGTAGAGCGTGATTACTTTTTCCTTTCAGGCCTCTTCTCTTTAAATGGTAGCAAATTAATATCATAATTCAAAGAAGTTTATACTGTGCAGAAGAATATATAGAGTTTGAATTCAAGTTTCTAAACAAAGGACTATCAGAATATGCAATATGTTTAAAGCATAGTTGTCTATAGTCTGATTCATTTTACATTCATAAGAAGCACATTAAGAAATAAAAGTAGTAACATGCTTAGCAGAGGAAATAACATTGGTGTATGTTAAGAGTAAAACCGATGATATTGGGCCTTAATTTTTTTTTTTTTTTAAATGACTGTAAAAGAAGTTTTATATAATGGCTGTTATCCTTTTGTTCAATGGTTCAATGCCGCTCATTGTATTTTGGCTGACTCCTGATGTTCTATAAGCTTTGGGACCTTAAGAAGTTCCATAGAATTGTTCTATGTAAAAGTTTGGGCTTTTAGAACTGATGTTTGGTTCCAGTTTTGAGATTATACTTGACTTTCATTTTGCATTTAATTCTTGTTATTTTATGCTAATCTGCAAACAAGATTAATGACAGTATTTGATCATGTTCAGCACTGGTTCCCAGATCGTTGGCTAGAGGATCATATGCTACTTGTGCATTTCTGAGTTCTTTGTCTTCCAGATAACTGTATGGTTCCATTATATTCACATTACAAGATGTATTTTCTAATTGCCCACACACAAATGTTAATTTCTGCAGGGTATCATAGGATTCATCTGTGGTTCTGACGGTTTGGACAGTTCAGGATTAAGCTCTTCTGCTGCTGTGAGATTTCTTTTGCCACAGCCCATGTTTTCTTTCTTTGGTCCTTAATATATGAAAGTTCTTATCACGGTGCCCTGTAATGAAAATCAAATTGAAGTTCATGATATGAGGACTAAATTTCACTTCTCGAGGAAGACCCATGACACCACTCACCTGGTTCTTTTACTTTTCCCCTCTTCCTATTTAGCAGAAGTGTTCGGACTTTATTGAAGAAAGTTTGAGAATAATTGCTCTTATTCATATTATTTTCTGCCGAATAACCAAATATATTTAGGAGTTCTGATTGTTTGTTTATAATGTCCATAGCAGAGAGGATAGCATCCAAAAATATAAAGATACAATCGACTTATCCTAATGATATTTTAACTAACCGATAAAGGCCTATCATCTCCCCCCCCCCCCCCAAAAAAAAAAAAGAAGATAAAGTCCTATCATGAAATTAAAGAAGCTTCTAAGGATGCTCAAAAACATGTGCATAAGCTATACTATTCCTCAACTTGAGAGCTAGATGTTGAATCCAGCTTGTTGCTTAACTCTTCAAATTCAGCTCTTGTCACTGCACCGGTTAATAAGCTAGCTAATGTGAGTTCATAGGAATATGATCTACTTCCATCAAACCTGAATCAGTCTTCTTCTTAATGAATTTATGATTGATCTCAACATGGAGTTTTGCAATATTAAACGTTGTTATAATGTCTGATCTTCATGGGCTTTTGAAATGAAATTAATATTTCAAGAACTTAGTCCCTTAGTTATATCCATATCCACTTTATTGTTCACTTCAAATCCCATTACAGCCGTAGCCATTTATTTGTATACTGCAATGACACTCATAACAGCGATTAACTGCCTTATCAACCTCATTCTAACAGCTCCTAACTATTAATATCGTAACAAGCTCTCTCAATCTATATTCCTTCCCAACATGAAGTTCAGCTTCCAAACACTTGTTACCACAATTGGCCAGCTCTTGCTTCTCTAATCCTTGGAATTTGTTGAGCTATAATCAAGGAAAGGGTTCAAGAAATAGAATTTATAGCTCTAACATCATGAAATTGAGATTATGCATGTGTTAAAGATTGGTAATTTATTTATTATAAACTTATATAGCTAGAGATTTCATCTTCCAATAACTCCTATACACCGCTGGTCTTATCAGTGTATCTAATTGCTTATTTTTCAGATTATGGCGGTTTCCATTAAGCCAAATGTATGCCTAGAGTTCAGATTGAGGAAGGAGGAACTTAATGAGAATTAAAAACTTGTATAGTCTAGAAGTGTTGTATGAATCTTCAATGCAGATGTTGAGCTTCTGACACCCTTATTAATATGACTTTTTTAATGTCAGAATTGATTCGTCAGTAAATTACTCTGACCATTTTTTTGGTTTCCTTTGAGGAAAACACACTGAAATGTCATATTTCTGCCAATTTGAAACTGTTATCTTTCTGATCTTCCTTTAAACCCTAAAATTCCCAGGGATTGATTTTATTATTCCATTGCTTGACAGGTTGGAGTAGCTTACCTCTTGGCCATGGAATATGCAAATAATCTATCAATATCTCCTAAAGAAACTATTGATTATGATCGGTAAGTTTCTCCAATATGGCTGCATGTATGGATAAATATTTCTCATCGGGATAGGGGCTAGCTATTAGTGACAAATGTTACCCCCGATGGTTTCACATGCTTAAAGGTTGGTAACTTCTTAAAACATTACCATCACTGTTTAAAAATCTCAACAGAAGCAAGTGCTGCTAGAAAGCATTGATGGTTTAGAAGTGTTATGTAACTCGTATTTTCTATCTGATGAATGGAAAGGACGGTTTGAGGCAGAGAAAAGCTCAGCCTAGTTCTTTTTAGAGTTTTCTTAATAGAATCAGGTTCATTTTCGTGTTTTTTTTTTTTTTTAAAGAGTCCCTTGGTGCACAGATTTCACATCAATATCTTCACTTGAATGTGTATGGTTTACTTTTACTTGTTTGATAAGTAAAATTAGTCACTATTATGAGACGCTGAGATGCATAGCAGAGGAGGGTATGTGGCAGTACATTAATAATTTTTTACTTGTACTGAAGTAAAATGGTGCATCTGAGAGAGATAGAGAAAACTAGAGTCTATCAGAGGCATTCTTTGCGCAGTCTATTGCTGTGCCTTGAATTAATACTGTTTAAATTGAATATGTATAGTCTTCCCTTGAAGTATATATCATACTAAAGGTGGTTGGTGTAAGGGTGGCTTGTTCCAAGAAAGGGTGAATTGGTGCTACTATAAAATTTTCAAATTAAAAACAAAGGACTATACAATCAATGAGTAACAAACAGAGTTGTCAGAAGTTTATAATAAAAACAGAATGCAAGAGTAAAAAGAAAGATCAAGGCACAAAATTATCCTGGTTTGGCCTAAACCACTTGGCCAATGCAAAGTCCCCAACCTTCCACTTGATATTTTTCACTAATCTTACAATAATAAAATGGGTTGCTGCTGCCACTGCAACAACTTGACTCACCTAGAGTCACAAACCTTTGCGTTTCACTCTCCTTATGGGGAGCTACCCCAACCCACTTAAAACCCCCTTGTCCCTCGTATAATCACTGAAAGAAAGCAATAAATTCAAAAGCTTTAACCTATCGGAAGAGTGGATGTTGCAGATGAAGTTCTAGAGGGAAAAAGATGAGCAAGTAATCATGAATTTAATGTGTCTAAAAGTTGTTAGATTTTGTTGCTAATACCCAGTTAGTTTAGAAGCATGGGTCCATTATAATGAAATTTTTTCGTCTTTCCTTGAGGCCTTCTTCAACCTATTTCTATCAGTTCTTCTTTGTGTGGTAATTTAGAGCCCGTCTTTCAATTACTGAGATTCCAATTTCAAATAGACTTAATTGCTTTAATTCTGATTGCTGGATCATATCAAAATTTATAAATGTTATAGGTTGATTGAGAATGAATATTTGGGTCTGAAAAATGGCATAATGGACCAGTCAGCAATATTACTCTCAAGCCCTGGTTGTTTGATGTTCATGAATTGCAAGGTAATGTATGGATATGAATATATTTATTGAATTTTCCATTTATATTCTACTTCAAAAACATATGCTTACATATATTTCAGAAGGAAATATAATATTAGGGATGTTGCTTACCTGTACTATCATTTAAATTGCGCATTACAAGTTTATGTCTGTAGAAATTCAAGGTTCAGTTTTTCATTGAAGTTTATTTATTTGATTGAAGCCACATCACATTCATAGATGATAAAAAAAAAAACAGCTAACTCCTATATGAACTAAGAGACAGCTCTTAGAAATAGGATAGCCCAAACAAGACACTCAAAATAAATCATATTGAAAATGGGACGCTTAAGCTAATATAAATATTCATAGAAAGTGTTATCTGAAAATTAACTCAAAAACAAATAGGCCTTAATTAAAACACATACATACATAATTACTAAAAAAACTTTAAGTAAAATAGATTCTTAATACCACAAAATCTCCAAAAATCCCCTCAAGTTGGGTATTCCCAACGTGGAGCTATTCTTCTAGCATTGCCAAGTGTTTTGTTTTTTGTGGCCAGGTATTGCTTCAGGCTTCTTTTTTTTTTTTTTTTTGGGGGGGGGGGGGATACCATTGTCTTTTCTGTGGAAATTAAGTAGGTGATGAGTACCGTGTAGAAATTCTGGGTTCAATTATTCTTTGAATTCATTTTATTATGTGCAAGCCACATTATGCTGTATATGATTAAAGGGAGAGAAGGCTCCTACTCCAACTAAAAGATGCAACTCCAAGAAATAGGTTAACTATCCTGATGTAAACACTATAACTGATGGATACCCATGGGGAATGGGAACCCTCCCCCAAAAAGCTAACTGTTGAAGTGGAAAAACTGAGCCTCTTAAACATCCTATAGAACATTCCATGCTACTTAATTTAGGACTTAGGCATCTTGTATTACTTAAGCTTCCATCTATGAACCCTCCCGGAGAGCTAATGCCCCTATGTTTCAATGAATTGATTTCCCTTGCTGGTTAGAACCCTTAGTAGGTAGCCCTTTTAGGGATTATCAACCACCAGGCTCTTGTACTATTTGGCGGGTATTGTTAGGAAGCCCTACAATTGCTTCCAGGAGATATAAAAGATGATCATATAGAGGATTTACAGATGAATATGAATGAAGAGCTGCAATAAGTTACTCCAGCTTACAAGTGCCCACCCTAATTCATATACGCACATAGTGACACAGGAACTATTGAGGCACTTTCGGTACAAAACACTAAAGTACACCAAACATGGATGATACAAATGATGACACTGACATTGAAAACATGAACTACAGGGCAGAACAGTAACAACGAACGTGAAGAGGAGTATTATAAAATACCTTGCTACAAAAGCCTTACTAGAAGCGTCAAATATTACAATACAAGACCATCAAAGAGAAAAACAAGTTACCAACTTTTGAGATGTTGGCTCTTCCCACCAAAACCTGATCCAAAGTTCTCTGTCTTTCACACTTCCCTCTTTTGTTCTTTACGTACCCATGCCAATAACTATTTATACACCAATGAGGCCTAGACACTCGGAAACAAGAGTTGAGTTTGTAACACAGACAGTAAAATGACACTATATGTGCACTTTGAATTACATGTGAGTACTTCACATTTCATTGTGTTGTCGTGTCCGTCTGAGTATGCATACTTTCTTGGTGTTGACCGTTTGGCCTAGAACTCTGTATTGGGATGGTGCAATGCAGAGTTTATGGCACTTGGCTATGTTCGGCACTTAGTCTGATTTATCTAGTTAAGGTTTGATGGCGTCCTTTACTGCATGTAATCCCATGCTAATTTATTTTAGCATGATCAAGGGATATGCCTCCCTCGCTGCCAAAAGCACTACATGCACCAAAGAGATCATTTTCTCTCTCTTGTAACAGACAACACTGGATTTCCCCGTATAACCCTTTATTCTGGGACGGATCAGTTAACCCCAATTCCCTCTGCTTTCTACCATTTCAAACCTTAGTATTAATGGGCCTAGATCCATCAATATCATGCCATTTCGTAGTTTCTTTTAGTCTTATAATTACTTTGTTGTACGGAACATATATTCTGAGTTATATTTCTAAGTTTTGTGCATTAGGATGTTTGGAAAGGCTAATTTTTCAGCATTGATCCCATCTATTTGTGTAAGGCTTGAAATTTGGAATGATAAGAATTAGATCATTAAGTATATGAATTTCTTGAGAAATACTCAATGAACTTATTCCTGTGATCATTAGCATTATGGTGCTTCACATTTTGGTGTTTGGCACTTGCAGACCAAGGAACACACACTTGTACACTTACCAGAGGCTAACTCTGAACCACAGAAAGCAATCAAAATATTGCTGGCACTTTCAGGTTTGAAGGAAGCCTTAACCAACAACCCTGGATATAATAGGAGAGTTGCAGAGTGCCAAGAGGCTGCAAGAATTCTTCTTCAGTAAGCATTTTGTTATTATGTTTTTAGAGTAAATTAGTTTTTCAATTTATATATTTTTCTGACATAATTGCAGCTTTTTGCTTTTATTTTCAACTTTGTTAACACTCACATGCACCTTTAACTTAGAAGAACCAAGGAAAAGTTTCTAAGCAAGAGTTGCCATAAGTCTGAATTAAACCCAGAAAAAACCTGACATTTCCAGAAGTTATCAAAGTTTTCATCTTCATGGGGAAAATCGCATCCTGGCATTTCTCCATTTTTTGAGTATTTGGACCTTGGAAAAATAGTCAATGCTTGATTTGATTATGTTTATTCATACTCAATGCTCATTCTAACATTTTTTCTTCTACTCATTTTCCAGAGCATCCGGAGATAATAAAGCAGATATCATCCTATCTAATGGTAAGCACTATGAATATCATATCCTGTGTTTGAACTTGTATCAAACTGTCATTTGATCCTAGAAATTCTTTTATTTTCTTCTTTAAACAGTTGACCAAGAAGTTTATGAAGCTCACAAGGTAACAGCATTGATACTATGGCTTTTCCTTTAATTGAACATGATTTTGCAACTTCCGGGTAGGTTGTGTGATAGAATTCTGTAGCTGATGGCTTCATTTGTGTTCGATAAACTAGAAATTTAGGCTGAATAGTTTCTTTTGTCATTGGACTGCACTTTTTAATATTGTAAGTACAAAAAAGTAATACTTCAATACTTTAATGTCATCTAAAGCAATACTTCAATATCAATATATCGTGTAAAGAAATCCGTGGGAGAAATCTGAAACTTAGGTGCATAATGAACAAAGTTGTTGGAACAAGAAGTGACTTGTATAGAAGAGGTGCCATCCCAATTTTTTCTGTGAGAGGAAAACACGACTTATTATTAATATGCTGATGGTATGATCATCACTGGCCAAACTATCTGTACAAAATTTTGTCTTTTAAAATTTTGGTTCATTTTTCTAAATCATTTTATGGATATGATATTTATTTATTTTACTTTGTTGTGGTTTCTATGGAAATTATGAGGAGAGAACTTGCTGTAATGAATACATATCTTCTGGAACTCCTTACTGTTAACGATGTTCCTGCTGGGCCAAATGTTGATCCAGCCCATGAGACTTACTCTAGGAGAGGGAGGGTAAGGACAAAAAGGGTATGGACAAAGAAACAACTAATCTGACTCTAGTAGATTGTTTGGTACAAAGGAATGAAATAAAAAAGAAATGAAGATAAATGAAGAAAACTGTGACTTGTACTTTTGCCCCCAAAAAAAATAGGAAAGAAGAGAAGTATGCTTTATGCCTTGGTACATTTAATTTTTGACACGGCTGGGCTAAAAATTTTTAATTAGGTCCTCATAATTTAAATAAATTTTGATTTAATCCTTCTTGCCATATTTATTTCAATATTTAATCCTTATCAATATTTTATGATGCTATAAATTATAAATATTAAGAGTATTAAGATAGAGTATAATTTTGGCCCAAAAAAGATAGAGTACGATCAGTTATATCAGCAAAATTTAAGAAATACTCAAATTGAACAATGGGGACTAAATTAAAACTGTTAAATTGCAAATTGCAAACTATGAGGACTACATAAAAATTGAATTAAATTTTAGGGACCAAAATATAGTTTTTCGCAAAGAGGCAATGAAACTGGATAGGTAGTGCTAAGTAATCATAACAAAAATACACTGGACATTGCGTACTCTCTCTCTCACTCCCTCTCCCATACTTCTCTTACTGGTACCAATCATGCCCTAGTAGAGGTTGTGGGAGAGCAATGAAAGAGAGAAAAAGTGATGGTAAGGGGGCAATGAAGAGCCCAAGGATGATGGTAGAGTCATTTTGATGGATTTTCATTGGAGGACTCTAGCCTTTTGGAAGCTAGAGATGATTAGTCTTTCTTCTTTGACTTTACATCTTGTCTTGTGCTTGGTTGCTACATCCTTCTATTGTTTATTAGTAAAGGTTGATGGTCCTGTGGTTTATACCTTCCTGTGTTATATGGGCTGTATGTTTTGGTGCACCTCTAAATACAAAGCAGTGAAGTTTCAGTATTTGGTTCTGGCGTGTTAGTTTTCTTTTATTCTCTGGTATCAGGGTTCTATCAGTGGCCGTAAAATCCATCTGTCACATCCACTTTTCATTGCTCTCTCTATATGATTTTCCTCAAAGATGAGATGAAGGATACATCTTCAGTATCCAACACAGAGAAAATGAGGTTTTTCCAAGTGAGCTTGATAGATTTGGGCGGGGAAAAAAAAAAGTGAGCTTGATAGAAATAGTTTATTTTCAAACAGTTCTTATTGAATCAGGAAGAAAGCAATGATAAGGTATCTATCAATTGTTAAATTGGACCCCTTCCAAGGTAAACGTAGAAGAATAACATAGTGACGGAATATCAGATATAACTAAGTATAGAAATTGTCTATGGTGATTTAAATCACATCTTATTGGAGCATCTGTTACGCACTCATGCCCTATGCCTTATTGACATACACCTAATGGCAAAGCATTTATGCATATCATCCTCTTTTCAAATTCAATGTTTAAATTCTGCGTTTGGAATATTCACCTGTACATATTATACTCGTTGGCTAAAGTCAAGTCACCTATGGCAAGAACTTTGTCTCCGCCTAGGTTATATTACTCTCCGGGTTATTTAATAATGTCATACACATCATACGTGAAAGGGAAACATTATTTATTATCTAAACATAAATTAGTAGGTCAACACTTTCTCTGTGCAGGGCAAGTTGGAACAAAATTTAGCCAAAAGAGCAGAGCATTATTTCTCAGAAAGTATGCGTGTAATGAAAGGTACTATCTGCTTACTTTTCATATCCCCCCCCCCACCGGCTCAATCTAATTCAATTAATGTTTAAACCAGGAAGAGAAGCATGGGCATTGGGAAGAGTAGAAGATTTTGGAAAGCTCATCGCAGCTTCTGGTCTGAGTTCCATTAAAAATTATGAATGCGGTATAGTCTTTAACTTCAAATTCTTTCTTGTAAATTTATCAGCTTTCCATTCTGGCAACCAGAGGATTGTGGGAAAGCGAATTACTTGGTTGCATATCATTATAATACAATCTTAAGACGACTAAACTTTCATTTAACTCGATTTTTTTATTTTTTTGGGGCCCTCAAATAAACCTTCATTTAGTGCCTATTTGGGAGAGCGATGGAAATTCTCTATAAACACATTTCACATAAACCGAGACAAAACTCCTCTCACATACTTATCTTGTATTCCGTAAATCACTATTGAAGAGCTATTTATAAGCTTCTTATAAGTTGTTCCAAACGGGTTCTTAGTTGAGTCATTTCCTCCAGCATAATATCTAGTTTTCACCTATGTTTTCGTATTTTTCAATTTAGATCTATCTTCTTCGAATAATGTGAAGATGATGTTTTTTACGTTTTCTCTTATGCTTCTCACTTCCTTACTTATTGGTGATTGATCCTCAAGGAATTAACTAACTTGGTGCCATTTTCCAGTTCCAGAATGCTAAAGATTTGAATATAAGAATGGAAAATCATATCATCCAAAAGACGAGTCCTGAAATCATGATAGCAATTGACCAAACTGTAGGTCTTTAATATGTCAATTCCGTCGTTCCTTGCTCAATTCCTATCTTGTAAGATTTCCTTATCGCTATAAACTTCCCCGTGTCTTGGTTGCAACTTTCCGTCAAGGGCTGTCAATAGCATGGTGTAGTGTTGTTATACTGGAAGTCAAGCTCTCAAGACATTACTATTTTAAGTGATTGGCTATGTTTATTATATGATACTCCCTTCTGTTCTTTCTAAATTTTTTGAATGGGTTTAGTCTTTTTTATAAGCTAAACTTTAGAGACATTTGAACATTTAATGCATTTTTTTTTTAAATTTTAACCCCTAATTAATTATATGTCTCTCTCATCTCTTTTTTTCATTAATTCTTTTCATCTCTTTTTCCACTCCTTTCATTCACACTCTCCATGGACAAGGGTGTTTTGAAAAAAAATTAGTTGCATCTTTACCTTTTTGTTGTCTTTAACCAACTTTTTGATTCATGTAATTTAGTTATACGAAACTCATAAAAAGGACTAGAGGGAGTATATCATTAGCTTCATCACATCCTTTGCCATGCAAGTCTAATTATTGACAAATACAATAATGTGCCGCCTAGGTGCCGAACCACTGATTCAGCTGTACCAGATTCTTTTGAAAGCTCCCGGAGTCCTGGGAGCACGCTTTAGCGGTGCCGGGTTTAGAGGGTGCTGCATCGCATTAGTGAAGGCTGATCATGCAGCTGAAGCTGCATCATTTGTCAGGTCAGAATATCTCAAAGTCCAGCCCGAGTTAGCAAGCCGAGCAAATGAAGAAACAGCAGTTTTAATATGTGAATCTGGTGATTGTGCTCGTATAATCTAGGACTCATGCTTTTGCAATTACTTTTTCATCTATCATTCTTTAAGATCACAAATGACAGCCAATTATCTCATTCTTTGTATCTTAGCCGTTTCCTTCTTTCCTCTTCCTGTGCTACCTCTTGTTGGGAGATGCTGGAACTGAGGAGGATGTAAGTTGTGATGTTAATTTTTTTGGACCATAATCCTCTACCGCACCATGGACCGAGCAGCACGGTGCTGCGCGGTTCTTGCACAGCAGAGGATGAGACCCTAAATTTTCTTGTGTTTCTTTTATTAGTTCCTGTCATGAGTACAATAAACTGGGTAGATCCTAGCTCTTTCTCACTTCTGTCAATGGTTGCAAGTTGAACTAGTTTTTCTATCTTGACTTGATTAACTAAATTAATTCGGTTAATATTTGTAAATTATTTATCATTTTTTGTCAATATGTGAATTAGTTACCTGGCTCCTACATTTAGGAATAGAACGAGTGCAAAATAGTGGTTCCATATTGTTACTTTATAGTGGCATGACGCTAGCGTCCTTGTATCTTAAGCAGCTTGTTGGTTAACATGTTTTGCACTATTTCACAAGTTGCGAGTTCGAGTAGGTAGAAACCCAACATTAACATCCTTGTAAATATGAATCCGTCAGCCTTATTTTCAACTTTTTCCCCTTTAAGCCAAAAACTGTGCTGGAGGCCCAGAAGTAAGAAGACGCTTATTTTTTCATTATTTAAGAAATAATTGATTGATGATGAAATAGCAGGTGTCATGGAGGAAAAGAAGGCTAAATTCACCTGTATTTAGTCTGGATGTTTTGAAAATTATTTTAAAAAAAATTAATAGAAGTTCGAGTTATTTTCATAGTGGCGAAAAATCAAAAACTTCGGTATTCTAATTTTCTTAGCGTCATAAAATGAAGCTTCTTTCAAGCCATCGACAGAAGCTTAAATTAAGTTTTAAAATGTTGAAAAGTTTGACGGCAGAGTTTTAAATTTTAGTCCGCTACGTATGATTAAATCCAAATTTATTGTTAGTTTACTATTACCTCTTTAGGCAATGTTCGATCGGCGACTGTGATCCAGAGGGAAAAAGAGGGGAATATATGTAAAACGGAATTTTTGTCTCCATGCTTGCATCTTATTTATAGTATGGTTGTTATGTTTTAATTAGAGATAAGGTATTTAAATACTTGGAAATATTCATTAAGGAGCATCTAGCATTTGGAAGTTTTTTTTTTCTTTTATGCCTTGGAAGTCTAACGAAAGAGGGAGCATCTAGCATTTGGAAGTTTTTTTTTTTTTTATTCTTATATGTCTTAGAAGTTTATTTTCGTAGCAAATATACTCTGATTTTTATTCATCATTAAGTTTAACTATTAATTTATATGATTTGATCGACATCTTTAATAGTTAAATTTAACAGTAAATAACAGTTTAGGACAAAAATGTTATGAAATAAGACTTTTGGGACATATGAAAGCCAAAAAAAATTTTCAGGTGTTGTTAGGTGCTCCTTTGGGATACTTCGAGATATTTAGACACTTTATTCCTTTTAATTAATATTAAACCAATCATTAACATTTCAAATACTTGCATATTTAATTCCTGTGATTAAATCCGGTCAAGAAGAAAATTCCTTGATTGAAAAAAAATACTGAACATTAAGTTGAGTAAGAAAATAACTTTTCTTTGGCGTGGAGTTGTGAGATATTTTATTATTATTATTATAAATTATTTAGGTATTTAATTAGGAATTAATAAAATATTCTGAGTGTGGCTCATGGTCAGGAAAAGGCCCAAGCCCAGTAGGGTTATGATTTTCAGTCAATAATGTATTTACTTTGATGATGAGTTTTTATAATTAAGGTTTTGACAGCTGAAACTCTTAGAGCGATACATTTAGTGAGAGAAAAACCCTATCTGCTCCTTAAAGTTCCCTGACTAGTGACGGCTGTTCCCGATTGCCATCACTGTGCCTTTCTACTAGTCAGAAGAGACATGAATCATTAATTCTTCGGACCCCAAATCTGTTTTGCAGTCCTTATCTTCTATCTTGGATCCCATATCAGTTAAGCAATAGCTATGGCGAGAGGTAACTCTAATCCTAAAGTCTTCCGCTATTGTTATAAGAAGATTCATTATGTATTATCTGGATTATATGTTTTACATATTATTTGTTTGAATCTATCTTACACGTGGCATCAAAGCCAGGTTACGTTATACTCTGCCTAATTTTATTTAATTTAACACGTTTTGTTTTTATTTGGGATGATATGACTTTATATGGAATTTACCGTTGTGTTTTTTATCGGTTCCATAAGCCAGATTAGAGATAACTAAACCGTAATCTATTTTCAAACTGTATTGGTTATTGTTTTTAATATTTGCGTATTTTCAGTGAATGGGACATGAGGAGATGAACAATTGTTCCTCCAATGATCGCCGTCACCAACTCCGTTAATGTCTGGGACCCGAAATCACTATGGTTTTTCCTTTCTTCTTTTGAGTCTGAATTGATCTGCATTTTGGCTATCTTTTTCCATTGAAATATGTTTGAATTAGTTGCTTTCATGTTTTTCGGCATTGTACTGCCAAAACCGCTGCCTAAAACGCTAGAAAACAACGTCTTTAACACCGGAAATAGACCAGGCCGCGGGAAAAAAAAAAAAGGCAAAATCTGGCAGCCATGCAAGGGATGCGAACCGAGTCCAACGCGAGTCAGGAGTCAGGTTAACCTAACTCGACTCCATGTGGAAAACCACTGAAACCTGAAACGACATCATCTGGACTGATTTGGGAGTCTCTGTTTTAACCCGATACGACATCGTTTTGCCTATTAAGTGAAATGCACCATTTCACTAATTCAGGTTTAATGGGCTGAACCATTTTGGGCTACGATCTGGGATTTTTTTAAAAAAAATTTTTATTTAATTATTTTTATTTAATTTGGGCCAAACGGGTTTTTTTGGGGCTGCCATTTTTTTAAAATTTTGAACTGGGCCAAGAAAGATTGGGTTTCTACAAGTTTTTCAACCTTTTTTTCTCTCTTTTCTCGGTCTGGGCCTCCTTTGTTTGGGCCACTCTGTTTCATTCAAAATTTTCTTTTTTTGCATAGTAACGTTACAGAATTGTTTAGGCTTATTTTTTGGACAGAAATTAATTTTTGGTCTCTGTTTGCTTTTTGGGCTTCAGTTTTGGGCCTAAACAGTGTTGATTTTATTGTTCTGGAATTTGGTTTTGGGCTCTGTTTGATTCAGCTTCTGTTTGGTTTAATTTAATTTTCAGAATTTGTTTATGTTGAATAAACCATTAATTGAAAACTATTTTAGTTATTTAAAAAATGGTTTTCACACGTAATTTATTTTATGCAAATATTTAAATTGTTTAAATAGAGATAAAAATTAATCTTAGCTATTTCACATTTTGTGTAAATTTGCAAAATTGTTTGTTGTATTGTTTATTTTCCTAAATATTTGGATAATAAATTTAGGCAAATTATTTTAATTATTTAAATTTTGCAATGTTTATTTAAGTAGAAATATGCTAAGGTTAATGTTTAAACAATTGTTTGGATGCATAAGATAGTGGGAGGATCTAATATGATAATTAATTGCTTGTGTTCTCCATTAATATTGTGCATATGTTGGATTAAACATGCCCATTTGATATTTGTTATTTAGCATGCTTTCTTAAGGAGTAGCCACAGCATCCTTTATCTGTTGCATGCAACATAGATCACATAATGGACTTATAAAATATCAATTGTAATTAAATATGCATTCATAATTGATCTTTGCTCATAGGTAGATAATTATAAATGTATATTTAATTAGGGTGGGATATAATTGCCTTGTATTTTCTAAGTAACCCACAGGTATTAGGAAATATAAATGCGTTATAGTTCCATCAATATAAGATAAATACATGTTATGTTAATTTCTTTACCCACAGGTAGAACTTAGTGATATGTATTTATAATTGTATGCTTTATTAATGTTTTTTAAACATACATGGCACAGTTATTGTGATTGTCTCAACTGATTTGTAAGTTTGATGATTCTTTGATATTGCAACTTCATTTTCTGTCCCTAACCTGATTACTGATACCAGTAACAAAATCACACTGGATGGTACTAATTACCCTGATTAGAGGGAAGATATTGCCTTGCAGCTTGGTTGCTATAACATGGACTTTGCCTTGGAGACTGACAGGACTCCTAAACCAGCTGATGACTCAGTTGATAAGGACTACTATGAACATTGGGAGAAAACCAATTGCGTTGCTCTCCTGATCATTAAAACGATGATTGCAAGGGGCATTCGGGGAGCAATCCCTAAATGCGAAACTGCTAAAGAATACCTGGAAGCTGTCAATAAACAGTTTAAACTGACGGACAAGCAGATAGGAGGTACCATCATGTCAGAGCTATGTGCTATGAAGCTCATAGGTATTGGTGGAATCAGGCAGCATATTATAAAAATGAGAGATCTATCCTCTCAACTGAAAGCCTTCGAGATAGAACCAACTGAGCAATTTCTAGTGCAATTAATCCTGAACTCCCTTCCTCTACAATTTGATACCTTTAAGGTGTCTTACAACACACATAAGGAAAAATGGTCAGTAGATGAACTACTGTCCATGTGTGTGTAAGAAGAAACTAGGCTATTGACGAGTGGAAAGAGCGCATCTAAAGAAGCTCATATGGGAGAAAGTTCCAATAAGGGTGGCAATAGAAAGGGAAATAAGGATGACAAGAAGAATAAGAAGAAAAGAATCCCTCCTGTTACTGCCTTAAATAAGAAGGATACCAGATGCTTCTTCTGCAAGAAAAAGGGGCACGTGAAGAATGAGTGCTCCAAAAGGAAAGCATGGCTTAAATGTAAAGGTATCTTTACTTCTCATGTTACTGTAGAATCTCATGCTATTAATGTTAATGATGACACTTGGTGGATTGATACTGGTTCCATGATCCACATTTCCACAACCATGCAGGGCTTCTTAACAAGTAGGCCACTACGTCCGAGTGAGGAATGGGTTCTATCAGGCAATAGGAACCCAGACCATGTGGAGTTGGTTGGGACTTATTGTATTTTTTTGAATAATACTCATGTGGAACTTTTTGAGACTTTTTATATTTCGACTTACATGAGGAACTTAATTTCCATTTCAAAATTAATCCTGTTGGATTATGATTTATGTCTTGAAAAGAGCTCTATGTTTTTGAGCAGACATCATGTTAAGATCGCAAGCATTGCAATGATTGGTGATTTATTTAAAATAATTCGTGATCCCATTCAATTTTTTACTATTTCACGTGGTATTAAACATAATATCATCAATTAGAATTCTATTAGCTTGTGGTATAGGAGATTGGGACATATCTCTATTAAGAGAATCAAAAGGTTAACTAAGGAGGAAATTCTTCCACCCTTAGACAATTCGGAATTTGATTCTTGTGTGGACTGCATAAAGGAAAAGTAGACCAACAAGTCACAAAAGGGAGCTAAAAGAAGTTCTGAATTGCTTGAGATTATACATACCGATATTTGCTGCCCTGACTTAACCGTGCACGGTCAAAAGTATTTTATTACCTTTATTGATGATTACTCGCGACATATGTATGTCTACTTGCTTTATAATAAATGTGAGGTACTAGATGCCTTTAAGGAATACAAAGCAAAAGTAGAAAAACAAATTAGGAAACCAATTAAAATTGTGAGGTTTGATAGAGGTGGTGAATACTATGATAGGTACACAAATGAAGGATAAGCACCTGGTCCATTTGTAGACTTTCTTCGAGAGCAGGGTATAGTTGCTCAACATACCATGCCTGGCTCACTAGATATGAATGGTGTAGCTGAAAGAAGAAATAGGACCTTACTGGATATGATTAGGAGCATGATAGGTAGCTCTAAACTTCCAATTTCATTATGGAAAAAAGTACTCAAGACAGCCGTATACATATTAAACGGGGTTCCAACAAAGATAGTTCCTAAAACTCCCTTTAAAATTTGAAAAGGTTGGAAACCCAGTTTAAATCATTTGAAAGTATGGGGCTATCCTGCAGAAGTAAGAGTGTATAACCCACGAGAAAAGAAATTGGACCTTAGGACTATAAGAGCTTACTTTGTAGGCTATGCAAAAAAGTCTAAGGGTTATAAGTTTTATTGTCCTCCGCCTTCGAAACATTTTGTAGAATCTAGAAATGCTAAATTTCTTGAGAATGATGTGTTTAGTGGGAGTGATCAAATAAGAGATGATCACATAAAAGAAACCATTAACACGAATGGTGAGGGAACTTCAATGGTCAATGACTCTCATCCAGTTAGAGTTGTCATAGAACATAGTGTAGATCCCATAACACAAGTTGATAATACTGGACATCAGGAACATATGCAAGCTAATCACCCTATCACACAATTTGAACCACCACAAAATGTGATAGGGAATGTTCCTAATGAGTAATCTGAACCAACTCAAGAAGTTGAATTAAGAAGGTCAACTAGAGAAAGAAGACTAGCATTACCTAGTGACTATGTTGTGTACTCTGCGGAAATTGACTGTGATGTTAGCATTGAAAATGATCCTTTGACATTTACTCAGGCTGTGAAAAGTGCAAACTCCAAATTGTGGCATGATGCCATGGTAGAAGAAATGAACTCAATGGCAAAGAACCATGTATGGGAGCTTGTGGAGTTACAAAACCAAAAGAGACTCACAAGGTAACATTGATCTCTACAAACCAAGGTTGGTTGCTAAGGGTTTCACACAAGTGGAAGGAATCAATTATAGAGAAACCTTTTCTCTTGTATCAAAGAAAGATTCTTTCCGCATCATCATGGCATTGGTTGCACATTTTGACTTGGGGATCTTGAGGAAGAGGTCTACATGAAGTAACCTGAGGGATTTGTTGCAAAAGACAAAGAACATATGGTGTGCAAGTTAAAGAAATCGATCTATGGTCTAAAGCAAGCTTCACGACAGTGGTATTTAAAGTTTCATGAAGTGATCAAATCATTTGGTTTTGATGAGAACATCATGGATGAGTGTATATACCACAAGGCTAGTAGGAGCAAAATCATATTTTTTATTTTATATGTCGATAACATATTGCATGCAACCAATGATTTGGGACTATTGCACGAGGTAAAACAGTTCTTGTTTAAGAACTTTGATATGAAGGATATGGGTGAGGCATCTTATGTCTTTAGCATTAAGATCCATAGGGATAGAACTTAAGGCCTTCTAGGCTTGTTTTAAGAAGCCTATATAAACAAAGCTCTTGAACGATTTAGAATGAAGAACTGTTCTACTAACGTGACTCCTCTAGAAAAAGGGGATAAGTTCAGTATAGATCGATGTCCCAAGACCAAGCTTAAGAAAAGGGAAATGGAAAAGGTCCCACATGCCTCAGCAGTAGGAAGCTTAATGTATGCACAGGTCTGCACGAGACCTGATATAGCTTTTGCTGTGGGCATGCTGGGAAGGTACCAAAGTAATCCTGGTGAGGCACATTGGATAGCTGCAAAGAAAGTGTTTAGATATTTACAGGGTACTAAACACTATATACTTACATATAAGAGGACAGAGAATCTAGAAGTGATTGGTTACTCAGACTCCGATCTAGGAGGATGCATGGACACACACAAGTCCATAACTGGTTACATCTTCCTGTTAGCAGAATGAGCTATTTCATGGAAAAGTGTCAAACAAACACTAACTGCTCCTTCCACTGGTAATGCTGAGTACAATGCATGTTTTGAGGCAAGCTCACAAGCAATCTGGATCAAGAATTTCATTGCGGGGCTTATGATTGTGGAATCAGTCTCTAGGCCGATTAGAATGTACTGTGATAACACAACTGCCGTGGCCATATCCAACAATAAAAGGAAAAAGAGTCAAAGTAAATTCATCAAATTGAAGTTCCTTTGCTTGAGAGAAAGAGTCATGGATGGCTAAATTTCGGTTAAACATATCCATACAAAGAGTATGCTAGCAGATCCTTTGAAGAAAGGATTGAAACCAAATGAGTTTGTTTTGCATGTGCCTCACATGGGACTTCGTCCTTCATTTGATTAGCTGAGGTATGAGCAATGAAATTAGTTTATGGTTTGTCATCTGTAATTGTAATTGTATATACATTTGTGTTTTGAGATTGATAAGCATGAGACAAGAATTGAATAAACATTGAGTTTATTCATGAAGGTATACCCATTAAGGGTGCTGCTTGTAATGCATGGAAGGCAATACTCGACTTAAGGGGATTTGTCGCCATGATTCTTGCAGTATAGCCTTAGCTTATCTGGGATAGGGCAATTGACATACAGTACACGGGCCAAGTGGGAGAATGTGAGATATTTTATTATTATTATTATTATAAATTATTTAGGTATTTAATTAGGAATTAATAAAATATCTTGAATGTGGCTCGTGGTCAAGGAAAGGCCCAAGCCTAATAGGGTTATGATTTTCAGTCAATAATGTTTTTACTTTGATGGTGAGTTTTTACAATTAAGATTTTGATGGATAAAACTCTTAGAGCGATACATTCAGTGAAAGAAAAACCCTATCTGCTCCTTGAGGTTCCTTGACTGGTGATGACTGCTCCTGTAAGCCATTACTGTGCCTTTCTGCCAGTCAAAAGAGACCTGAATCATTAATTCTTTTGACCCTAAATCTGTTTTGCAGTCCTTATCTTCTCTCTTGGATCCCAGATCAGTTAAGCAATAGCTATGGCAAGAGGTAACTCTAATCCTAAAGTCTTCTGCTGTATTGTTATAAGAAGATTCATTATGTATTATCTGGATTATATGTTTTATATATTATTTGTTTCAATATGTCTTACAAGAGTCACAAACAAATCCGGGCATTAATAAAGCATAAAATTAATTTAAAAAAAAGTTCTCAACTTATACGCCCTGTGCTTTTACTGAAAGTTCAAACTTGTACCCTCATACTTAAGACCTCGATATAATATAAAATTAATAATGTCAATTATGCTTGTGCTCACTATGCATACATTATCTTGGTTGCATAAATTGATGTTACGATATAAGGGCATCAATACTAAGCATTGATCATGTGAATTAAATTTTTAAGGATTTGAAAGTTTAAAAGTATGTTTAATACTTAATAAAACACAACGACCAAATTATAAATTAGGTGATAGCTTGAGGAAATTCGACATGTATTTTTAATCTATTCAAATTAATCAGCTATTTCTTATATTTAGAACCAGAGAAAGTAGTTGAGAACAAGAAGGATGAAAACATTGATTAAAGGAACAATTATAAACAATTTTACAAAAGAAATATGGATGATAACATTAGAAATTTTTCAACATTATCCGAAAGCACATCTTACTCATTTTTGGGAGTATATACATCATTAGATATATCAATAATCAATAATTACTCATTATGTCCAATGAGCTGTCCATTGAATATGCTTGCTGCGCTTTTTTTTTTTTATACACTGGAAGAAAAAGAAAAACGATTAAACTACATTATTAGTCTGCAACAAACTCGTGACCACTTCCTTGCTGAGCACTTGCAGTCCCATAGCTCCATTCAACACTATCTTTGCTAGCTTGTCCGCCTCTGAGTTGTCATCCCTTCGAATAACTTGAAGCTTAACACTCCAATTCCATC